GGTAGGTGGTAGGAATGTTTTATATTTTTAGTTACTTTGAGCATGATTTAAGTTTAAAAATAACTTAATTCATTCATAGATAGAGCACATCATGTCGAGCAATAAGTTATGCTTATTGCTCGGTATGAGCAATAAGCATAACTTATTATTATTCCGGAGATAAAAAATATGTTTGCAAGGTAAGCCCATAGATAAATGAAACAAACAGTTGCAAGTATCAACTGAAACTACTATTTTCCCATCAGCAAAATTATATTCCTCATTTTCATTACATAAAAGTTCTTCTTTGCTGGCAGCAAGCTGCTTACACACAAAGTCTGCAGCATATGTTGTTAAAAAAGAGCAGTATTGAACCTCTACAGATCCAGGTGGAAATACAGCTTGGAGTCAATAGCAAACTTGATTATTATTAGTCGTAGCTTAGAGCTCTTTATGAGGTTTCAACAATGCACACCAAAAGCATTTTAAAAAAAAGAGATTCAATCCAAGTGCAACATGGCACTGTTATTACTCTGCTATTTTATAGTTGTTTATGGAATCAGGCTCTGGGAGCTACCACAGAGTTCAGGAAACCTTACTACCAGCTGGCCTCAGAATGATTACACTGAGTTTTAGAGCTGTATCCTGATTAAAGATAACAGGAATAGTTACATAGCAACTATCAAGGAGGCTCACGCAAAAATCTATAAGTAGAGTCAAGAAGATCCACCATTCATCATCCTTAGTAGAAAACAATATAACACAGGTTGAAATCTATGCCAGCCTAATAGATAAAGAAGGGGTTCGATGCTGGTCAATAGAATTATTCTGCCTACCCCTAAAGTCTTTTTCTAGGAAGTTTTTTACAAGGCAGTTGCTGGATGCTGTCAACACCTGCCCACTATTAGTAATTTTATTTTAAGACACCATCTCTAGTTTTTACTCAACCTAGAGCCCCCAAGGATTTTTATGTTAGAGTTTATTTCTCCCAGCCTTCTTCTAAGAAAAAGTACTATTAGGCTGTAGGGCATGAGGCAGGTATTGCAAATATCAGTAGCAGGGTTACATAATATCAGTAGCAAGGTAATTTTGCTGAACCTTATGTGGAGTAGTTAAAGAAGTTTTTTCCAGTAGTACTTTAAAAATTGATGGGGATGTTTTGAAAATGCATTAAGAAAAACATTACATTTAACAGAGTACTAGAATTAAGGTAAGCATAGGTTTTATAGTTAGAGTTTACTGAGTTCACCCTGCATCAGAGATTTAAGCAAAACATATACATAATTTAACTTACAGGTGAGTGAACATTGTGCCAGAGATTCAGACAGAGCACAAACATACATGTAGTAACTTGTGGGTGAACAAGCACTATGCCAGACAATCAGACAGAACATAAACATACATAAAGTAACTTATGAATAAATAAACACCGCATTCAGATAGAACACAAACATACATGTAATAAATTACAAATTTGAATTTTATTAACGATAAACTGAAAAAATATGTAACATATTTTCATACCAAAATAATATTTTTTTGTTCATTTTTATATAGATTATTCAATAAAGGAAAACCATTATTCCTGGTTATTAAGAAATAATTACACAAAGTTATCCAAAACTGCAATATTCAAATGTAACATTAAAATCTTTCTAAATTAGTAAATAGTTTAAATTTTTTTTTTTTTTAACATCTTTACTTCCAACAATGCTGCAAGCAACCACTATTAGAGTTTGAAGTTATTGGAAGAGAAAATATGAAATTTCTAGATAACAATTAACAGAGGACTTGAAAGATTGGGAACTATATAAATCAGGAAAGCAAGATGAATGAAGCAGATTCCAAAAGACTGATGTTCGAGGAAAAAAACTAGACGAATAACAATTTTTGGAATAATTAGAAACTGTCACAATAAAAGGATGAGACTTGATTGAATGATGAGTAAAAAAAGAATGAATTTTAGTAAGTTGCACAAGAGATACTAGATCTTTAGCACAATAAAGAACACAATAAAGAGATGCAACCTTAGCAGATGCTAATTTTGCAATTGATTTGATATGGTTTCCAAGAAAGATTGGAAGTAAAAGTTAATCCTACAAGATAAAGGGTAGATGACTCATTGAGTACATTACTGTTCATAAATATAGGAAGATCTAGATTATTGAAATAAGAATTAGCTGAAAAAAATTGAGTTTTATTGGAATTAATGTTCACCAGCTACTGAGAGCCCCATGCTGTAGCAAAAGTGAGATTCTTTTCAAGCTCAAATGCCCCCTCCAAGCAATCAGAGAGTGTCGGCTTCTCATTAAGCTAAGAATAACTGGTAGTATCATCAGCAAACAATACCACCTTGTGGTATTGGCGATGTGAGAATTTCTGGGAGATTGATAATGTAAATTAAAAAGAGTATAGGGCCAAGGGTAGAACCTTGTGGAACCCCTAAAGTTTCAGGATATGAAGAAGAGTGCTGTCCATCGAGGACAACTTTTGTACTATGATTGGTAAGGAAGGATTTAATAATCTTAAAGTTGTTACCTAATACACTGTAAGAAGAGAGCATGCCAAACTTTATCAAAAGTTTTAGAAATGTTGAGGGCGATAGTCTTAACCTCTCCACATCTATCTAATGCTTGATAAAACCTATCAGTAATTACCGTTAACAAATCAGCAGTAAAACGAGAAAATCAAAATCCATATTGATGATCAGAAAATTATTAGATTCAAGATGAGAGATTATTTGTTTGTTAATTAAAGACTCAAAAACCTTGTTAAAGATAGTAAGAAAACTAATGGGACTGTAGTAAGAAGACTAATGGGACTGTAGTAAGAAGACTAATGGGACTGTAGTAAGAAGACTAATGGGACTGTAGTAAGAAGACTAATGGGACTGTAGTAAGAAGACTAATGGGATTGTAGTTAGGATGGTAGTTAGATGATTCAGATTGCTCTCCAGATTTTTTGAAAATAGGGTTAACAGATGTCGCTTTCCAGCGAGAAAACAAGACTCTGTCAAGCACTTTTTTAAACAGTTTTGAAAGTATAGGCAATATCTACAGAGAACACTTCTGCAAGACTATAACAAGTATGTTGTCTGAACTACAAGCTGTAGAAGAGTCTAAGAAGGAAATCACTTTAAATACAGAAGCTGGAGTAATACAAATGTCAAGCAATGGATCAACTTGTTTGTCAGCCAAATCAGGTAGAACACAACCAAAAGAGTCAAGAGTTGATATTGATGAGAAGTTCTTAGAAAATAATTCAGCTTTTTTTTTAGGTGAGGGGAAAAAATCTGAACCATACAAGAGAGGTGAAATAACAGATTTACCCTTGTTATAGATACTGTTCAAGGTTCTCCAGAAGTCATGAGAGTCTAATTTTTAAAATAAAATATGAGATTTTGTGACCTGAGAATAGCAGGCTTTGGCGTTAGACAAAACTTATTGACAATGGTTTCTAGCACTAGTAAACAAATGTCTGTTATCTGGAGAATTGTTTTGCTGATAGATATGAAAGTAATGGTTGCATTTAGAAATTGTAGCAGCACAATGAAAGGAAAACCATGGGGAAGATCAAGGCTCAACTTGGAATTGTTGAGAGGGAATAAAGGATTCCATGCCAGCCTGAGTCCAAGAAATTACATAAGAAGCACATTTGTTTGAAAGACGTTTATTTATTATTTGGAAGACGAAAAATTTCTACCCAAGGGCCATGACAAAGAAAATCACCATAAAAGTCCTAGTCAGCTTTGAGGAAAATCACCAAAAGAGTCCTAGTCAGCTTTGAGGAAAATCACCAAAAAGATTCCTAGTCAGCTTTGAGGAAAATCACCAAAAGAGTCCTAGTCAGCTTTGAGGTAGTTGTAAGAGGTACGGTGATGCAAAGAATGCAAATATCCTGCATGATGATGCAAATAATGTAAATAACTGATGATGCAAATGTAAAATGTACAGTCTAAAATGTACAATGATGTAAATAATGCAAATAACCTGCATGTTACAGCCTAATATTCCGTATGTAAAATTTACATTTTTACTTTAAACTTAGTTTCAAACATGAATCCATAAATTTAGTTTCAAACCTGATTCCATAAATTTAATTTCAAACATGAATTCATAAAAACTTTTTAAAGATTTTTTTTAATTTTAGGGAAAGATTAATTATAAAAAATAAAAATGATTAAATTAATTGTTCTTAAGGCTCTTTTGATGATTTCCATGACTTTTATGTGTGAAACTTTAAGCATTATACTGGTGTCTATCAATATTATATTAAATAGAGGTTTGGAAGTACCCTAAAAGTTTTTCGCATCCCTAGTTCCCAGGTGTAGTAGGTGTGAGCTAAATAATGTTATCAAAAAAGTTTATGTGTATTCTTAAATCCAATCAAAATTTTAATTTAAAGGTTTCTATATCAATTTAATAATAATTAGGCTAAACTTATTTTTGTTATTATTCTCTTTAATTCAAGTAAATCTAACAATACAATGTACAATCAATGTACATTACATTAACATTGTACTTTAATGCACACTCTATAATTTCATATTTAATGTAGTTTTAAATTTTTTTTAGAGTTAAAACCCAATAAAAATAATTAAAACATGGTTCTAAAATGTTTTACGTTAAATTTGTTTTAAAAAGAGTTTTCGAATCATTTATAAAGTTTTTTTTTTTTTGTATAAAACAAAGTTCAGTTGTTAATTAGTAAGTTATTATTTTTTTGTTCAATATTTAAAACAAAAGGTAGTTAGGGTACCTTTACTTAGAAACATTTTATGTTGCGGTTCAATATTTAAAACAAAAGGTAGTTAGGACACCTTTACTTAGAAACATTTTATGTTGTGGTTCAATATTTAAAACAAAATGTAGTTAGAGCACCTTTACTTAGAAACATTTAATGTTTTCCTAGCAAAAAAAAACTAACAATTGATATCATTAAATCTTATATTTTAATATTTTTGTTATTTTGGCTGAAAATAAACTTCCACAAGTCTAATAAACCAAATTTTTTTTTCTCAGATTTTTTTTCGAGGAGGAATAACTGTCAACAATGAGATTGGAGATAAATGGATTGAAATGGTTGGAATGTTTTCTTTTGTTAGCGTTGGGCCTAATAATCAGGTTTCTTTTTCTTTTCTTTTTTTTTCTTTTTTTTTAATATTATTTACTACACAATGTGTTAAAATTTAATAGAAAAAAAGTTTCTTTTTTAAATGTTTAAAAATTTCTTAATTTTACCTTCGTTTCTGTTGTTTTCTTATTTCTTTCTGCTGTTCCCCTATGACTCTTATTGTAATATTTTTATGCACAATATTGGAGTATACATTATGTATTGAAGTTTTCAAAACATGTGATTGATAAAAACAAATTGTTACATTTTTTTTTTTTTCTTTTATAGCAATAGGTTTTTGTGCATTGGTGTGTGTATTAATCAATTTTAACCATACATTGTAGCAGTTTATTTAATCCCATAAGCATAAAATTACGAACTGTCAAAAAATTGTTCTTGAACAAATTTTTACTGGACTTTATATGGACATGGTTTTCACAAAAATTTTACTTTTGTTTTTGAAGTTTCTAAGTAATTAAAGCTCTGCTAAAAAAAATTTTAAAATTTTGCTAAAAATTGCTAAAAAGAAGTTTTAAAATTTTAAAATAACTCAAGTTAGATACAATATACAAAGTTCTATTCATATATTTTTCAAATAAATTACTTCCCTGGAAAAATATTTTGTCCATTTGTTTCGATGCAAATGAAAACTTTTACTAGACATATTTTTGTTTGTCAAAGATTGAAATAATGATTTACTATTGATTTTTTTTTTTTTTTTTTTTTTTTTTTTTTTTTTTTTTTTGTTATTGCTATTAATTTTTTCTGTTGCCTTTTTTTTTTTTTTTTTGCTTGTTTTAATACAAAAAGATTTTTAATACTTACAAATCCTTGAAAAACAAAAACACATGTTCAAATCCAAATCCCTGTACTGTTCAAAATGAAAATTTCCAGATGATTATATCCTAATTTATTGCTACTTTTGTAACAGGTGGTAACAGGTAGTAGGGATTTTACTGTTACAAAAAAATGACTTAAAAAAGTTCTAAAAAATCAAAATTGCAACTATTTTAATCTTTTTTTAATTTCTTTTGTAAATTTCTCATTCAAAAATAAATTCGGGTTTTCAAGTGAACAAGCATTAGTACACAATCTGATGAAATATGCGTAAGTATGACTATGCAGATTTCCTCAGATTGTGGGCAACATGTGCTTACAAATAAAGTTGGATCATCCAAAGTAATATTCAACTGCTAAGATATCATTAAAAGTTAAGTATTAGTAAATAAGTTAAGTTTGTAACTTTAATTTAAAAAAGGAGCCTGGTTCTAATTTTTAATCTAATGTCACTAAAAAAAAAACAAATATAGTTTAAGTTTTTTTTTAAGTTTAAATTAAAATATTATATATATATATATATATATATATATATATATATATATATATATATATATATATATATATATATATATATATATATATATATATATATTTTAAAAAGAATAACTTGGTTGATTTGGTTTATTGAAAAATTTTTTTGTTTTAATTAAATCTTTTTTTATGTGTGAAAATAAAAAAGAATACTTTAGCTTTTTTCAAGATATTGTTGAAGATGCTAGAATAGTGACTTACTAAAATTGTTGAAGATATTGTTGAAGATACTAGAATAGTGACTTACTAAAATTGTTGAAGATATTGTTGAAGATACTAAAATAGTGACTTACTAAAATTGTTGAAGATATTGTTGAAGATACTAAAATAGTGACTTACTAAAATTGTTAAAGATATTGTTGAAGATACTAAAATAGTGACTTACTAAAATTGTTAAAGATATTGTTGAAGATACTAAAATAGTGACTTACTAAAATTGTTGAAGATATTGTTGAAGATACTAAAATAGTGACTTACTAAAATTGTTGAAGATATTGTTGAAGATACTAAAATAGTGACTTACTAAAATTGTTAAAGATATTGTTGAAGATACTAAAATAGTGACTTACTAAAATTGTTGAAGATATTGTTGAAGATACTAAAATAGTGACTTACTAAAATTGTTGAAGATATTGTTGAAGATACTAAAATAGTGACTTACTAAAATTGTTGAAGATATTGTTGAAGATACTAAAATAGTGACTTACTAAAATTGTTGAAGATATTGTTGAAGATACTAAAATAGTGACTTACTAAAATAATTACCTAAACTAAAATAAGTACTAAAACAAGTGAAATAAGTAAAATAGTGAATTACTTTTCATATTTTTTAAAATCATGTCTGCAAAATACCTAAGCACTGTATTAATTTTTAGTAAAAATATAATATATAAAAATAAAGTTTATAATATATAACAAGAATTTAAAAACAATGTAGTAAGAATAAATTTTATTATATATAAAGCACCCTTAAATCATTACATACTTGTGGTACAGTATATACCTATTGCACATTATAAACCTGTGGTATATTATTTATCTGTGATACATTATATACCATTAACATATTTACTTTCTCTAATATTAAGTTTAAATTCAGCAGAAATTCAAGGGTTTTACATTACTCAGGTATTTGCATTGAGTGAAGATTGCCATGATATATATATTCGAACTAATGTTACACCTGAAGAACTGGTTGGCAGAGAATGGAAACTGATTAAGTTTGCAAAAAGTGGTAAACTTTTTGTTAACGTAAATTAACTCATGAAATATTATGAGATAGCAGATTAAGGTCTGCATTTAAGTGTACTTTTTATAGTTAAAAATGTTTGTTCTAATTTTTTTTTAATGTTAGCTCTAAATTTTTTTTTTAATGTTTAAAAATGGCTCTAAATTTAAAAAAAAAAGATGAAAAGTAAGAATATTGAACAAAACAAAAAACATATTGAAAAAAAATTTTGAAAAAAAACAAACATAATAAAACAAAAATAATATAAAGCCTGAACAAACCTCAGTTCTGATGTATGTAGTGACTCTTGTGCTTATTTTCAGAAGTCAATATTGATGCTTGAATAAGTTGATCTTATTCTGCTGATGTTTTATTATGTGTGTTTGTGTGTGTTTATTTTATGTGTGTTTGTGTGTGTATTTTATGTATGTTTGTGTGTGTGTATTTTATGTGTGTTTGTGTGTGTGTATTTTATGTATGTTTGTGTGTGTGTGTTTGTGTTATGTATGTTTGTGTGTGTGTGTTATTTACAGGGGCTATTCTAAAGAAAAAATTTAAGTAGTACCCTGTTTTCATTTTTGAACCTCTTCCTAAATAAATTTTACAAGGTCAGGATTTTTTTAATGATTTTGTGGAAAGTGTTAAGTTTGAGTTAATAATTTGTGTTCATTTTGTGCCAAGAAATACTTTAGAAACTTGCTGTCTATTTTCATTTCGAAGTTAAATAAGTCTTTTTTGACAATTGATAACCAGCTCACATTCTTTTTGATTCGTGGTTTATTTTATTTTAAAAAAAACTTTCTGCTTTTGTCTCTGCTATAGATCAACTAGCTAATAATAAGTTCAAAGTGGCTGAACTTAAAAAGTTTTAAAATGATGTGTATAATAATTTGTTATCAACTAATTTGAGGTTTGAGAGTTATTTCAAGTAGTTTTTAATTGAATTTGGGCAAACATACTTAAATTGAACCCTGTAAAAAATGGTCTAGAATAGCCCTTGTAATATATGTATATGTCATATATATGTGTATATATATATATATATATATATATATATATATATATATATATATATATATATATATATATATATATATATATATATATTCATTTATAATTATCAATAAAACTACTATATATTATTTTAAAATAATGTATCATTTGAATACTTTTATTCCACCTATTCAGCCACTTCATGGAGGTCTTTTGACAGTGGTGCATGCACTATAGACAGTACAGCAGTTGAAAGTCTAAAAAGTTTCACTGTTTCTCAAAGCTCTAGCATTTCTAGTCTAGTAGCAGAGTGTACAGACTGGAGAACACATTTGATGTATCAGTTAAATGAAAGAAACCAGAGAGAATCATGCAGTATTGCTGAGCTTGCTATTGAGGTACCTTTTTTTTTTTTTTGGGGGGGGGGGGGGGTTGAGGTATTGAATGAGTTTGTTCACTAGAAAATGAAGTTTTTATTCTTTATTGTCAATATTAAAAATTTTTTGTTTGTTGTAAACAAAATTGTCTAGTAATTAAAACATTTAAGTCTTAATTGCTCTGTCTCACCTTTCAAGTACTTGCTCAATCACACCTTTTAAGTGCTTGCTCAGTCAGACTTTGACTATGTGATCTTATTATTTTTTTTAGACAAATGAATCCTGGAAAAAAAAAGATAATGGTTACATTCTTATTGATAGTTATTATAATTTATGGTCAAAATGTCGTCTTTCATATCAATCTGACATAATAGAAAATAATGCACACAACATGATTATACAGTATCAGCATAAAAATGAAACTCAAGAAATTTATCTTTATAAAAGTATGATTAAATGTGCTCATCGCATTAAAGGATTATCTCATGTAAACACTTTTTCTATACAAACTAATGACAATAAATATATCGTAATAAGTTTAGAAAGTGAAGCTTTAGTTATAGAATGGTTGAAGGTTTTAAACCCTTGTTTGTATATTAGAATAAATGAAAGTATATGGGCTACATCAACATTAGGTGAAATTTTTGTAAGTGCTGATTCTGGAGCTAATTTTTCAGATTTGTACTTCCACAACTGGTTGTCAGTTCGAGGAATCATGTTAAAAGTTTTATCTGGTGTGGATGGCATAATTTGGGCATTAGGGAAAGATGGGCGAGCTTACACTTATAGTCCAAATAAATTATTTGAACAACGGTATGTAGAGAATCACTTTATTTATGAAAACAAGCGATGGAATCCTATTGAGGGATATTCTGACAGGTAGTAATTTTTTTATTTGTTTTTATTTGTTTTATTTTTTTATATTAATATAAAATGTTTTTGTTTATATATACATATACGTGTAGCGTATAAAAACATTTTAAAAAATAGGTTTTTTGCTTTTTTAAGGTTTCTACCTAGTGATCGCTGGCATTGGAGTGATGAAACTGGTGTTTATGAGTGTTCTAAAGATAAATATAAGTTGCCTACAAAGTCTAGTAAATGGCTGGATGAATGGGAAATTGACTTTGATCACGAGGTAGATGAAATGGGTTGGCAATATGCAATTGACTTTCCAAGGTATTTTAATTGATTTATGAAAATAGTATTTTTATACTAATGATTTTATCATTTTTCTCCATTTGTATATCATACTTCATGATAGAATCAAATTTCATTTGATTCTATCATGTTTTCAATTTTTTATTTTCTTCTTCATCTTGTATTTAATTACATTTGCTTGTAATACTTTTTTCATTTTTAATTTAATTTTGTTTTTTTATTATTTAATTTGTTTAAATTTAATTAAGCATTTAATTTACTGAAAGTTTGATTCGATCAGCTAAAATAAAAAAAATTCTTTCAATTTTTAAATTTTTTTTGGTTACTTTTGGTTGCTTTTAAACCTTTATTTAATTATTATTTTTAACACTTTGTATATTTATCTGTGTGTTATGTAATATATCTCTTACAAATAAAATATGAGAAATTACAAATTATAATAGTATATCCCTTACATATAATTTATGAGGAACTACTAATTATAAATTTCAGTAAAATTTGATGATCATCATTGTCTTAGCATCCTCCTTTTCTGAACTTGCATGTGTCAACCGTTTCTTATAGACAATCTTAAATGTCTTTCTTTAACTGTCTTTTCATCCTATCTGTAACAAACTCTTTCTGTGTTTTCCTACCTCTATCTCTACCTTTTTTTTCCTGAAACTACTAATTGTCTACATGCTAGTACCCGATCACCTGGATCAAGGTTTTAATTGCATCCCCATGATAACAAAACTTACCAACATTTTATCTTTTCATCACTATTTATTTTCTTATTTTTATCTTCTTTGTTTTCAACAAAAGTATATTTACTTGAAACCAAAAATATACCTTGTATATCATTACATCTCTTGTGAACCAATTGCTTACAAATTGTGCAAACAATAAAATTGGCTCATACACACTCAGCATGGATACTTTTTAGTATGTTCTACTTGCTTGTTTTTGATTTTTACAATTTTACAACCTTAGTTTTATTTATGTTTATCCTAAGCCCATATGCTTCTGTTACATCTTTCCAACCCTTGGTATTTTTCTTTATATTTGTAATTTTTTTTCTGTATTTGCAATAAAGCATAAACATTTTTTAGGTACTATCACTCTTACAAGGGAATAAATGATTACGTTAGGAGAAGGCGATGGAAAAGGTTATTAATCTTACTTTATAATGTCTTTAATTTTTATTATAAAAGCTATTTTTATTAATCATAATGCTTATAATGACAATGATGCATACCTTGGTATTCATAGACAGTGTTTAGTCACAACACGTGGTCCTTGGAAAGAAGTTCCAACTGATGCAACTATACGTGATATTTCAATTGATATGCAGGAAGTCAATTGTTGTGTGTGGGCAGTCAGTTGTCATGGTGATGTTATGGTTAGACTTGGAATCTCTAAAGAGTCTCCACATGTATGTGATTTAAAGTTATACTATAGTTCAGCCCTCAGAATTAGGGTCAGCATTCAGCAATCCTAAATAAATAAATTTAAAATGGTAAAGTAAACCCTTTATTTAAATTCTAAATAAAATAATTAGGAAAAATACGGAATAAAGAATGTTTTAATTCAGCAATTTAATTTCTAAATAATTATAATAAAAACAGCAAAACAAATGTTTTATCTAAATTCTAATTACAAACCTTTTGTTTAAACTATAAACAAAACAATTTAAAAAAAACAAACGGGAAAACTAACATTTGATAAATTTTAAATAAAATAGTTAAAATAAAAAACATAATTGTTTTTTTAAATTTCATGTAAAATGGTGAAATGCTCCATTCATTTATCAAATTTTTTAGCAAAAGTCAACGTTTAACAAACTTTGCTTTGGTTCTTCTGTTATTTTTATGCTAAACGTTCACACATTTGTCAATTAGTCGAAATTTGTTTCTAAATTTTGTGTCAACCTGATGCCAACCTAAAATGGTTTTAGGTCAGCATTTTTTGACAACATTTTTTTTCCTAACTTGTAGGTCTACTATGATTATTGTGTTTTTTTTTTTATGTTTTTTTTGCTTTTTTTAAATTATTTTGAAATACAATTATAAAGCAAGTATCATGGAATATTATTAAAAAATATATTATAATTTATCATATGTTATGCTTTTTTAATTGATATAATAATAATAAAAAAATAATATTAAATATAAATTAAATATTTTTAGCATTTTCTTTTTTGTTTTTTTTTTTTTTGTTATATTCTTTGCTTTTTTCTTGCTCAAACTATACATATCTTTATTGTTTAACTTATTTTTGTCATTTTAGTTCAGCATCTTGTTGACTTATTTCCTACACTTTTTTATTTCAATGCAGTTTTTATTTCACTTGGTTTTAAACTTTTTTTTTTCTTGTTTTGCATATCAGGTTTCTTTATTTTCTGAAATTTTCATTTCTATGAATTACTTTAAAATGACATTGAAAATAAGTTCTTTATTTTCAGAATAATTTTTTTTTATAAATTTTATAAAATTATACCAATCTTCCTCCAAAAAATAAAAGTTGATATTATTTTTTTTAAAACATTAGCTTGTTTGTAATGCAGTTATGCATTTCTGTTAACTTTGAAACATTTTATATTGACAAAACCTTATTTCATTTTGACAACTTTTTATTTTATATTGGCAATATTTTATTTTATGTTTAGTTGTGTTTAGAGCCACATGAAATCTACTTTCCTTTTTTTCAAGGGTGATTCATGGCAATTGGTTTTGATTGACATTCCAGCAGTTTGTGTGTCAGTTGGGGTAGACAGAAAGGTTTGGTGTGTTACTGAAGATGGGTCTTGTTTTCTTCGTACTGGGTTTCATGAGAATTCAATTCTTGGTTTAATATTTGTTTTTTTCCATCATTTATTTTGTTGATTTTTTTATGTATTTTTTAGGTATGAAATAATGTTTGTTTACTAATGAAAGAATGTTTGTTTAGGAACTCATTGGATTCATATATTAAAAGAAGGACATATAATAAAACATATTTCTGCTGGAAAAACAGTGATAGTTGTTTTGGATAATAAAGGTATATCATGTTTGGTGTTGTAAATTTTTTTTTTTTCTCAATTTTATCAATGTTGTATTACAATTAAACATTTTTAGGAGCAATGTATTATCGTGAAAATGTTTCAGAATTTTATCCAGAGGGAACATCTTGGATAAAAGTACTTGAAAATGTAGCTTCCGTTTCTGTCAATCAAAATGATCAGGTATTTCATCAAATAAATCTTTTATGATATAATAATTTAAATTTGTTACAGATAAGATAAAAAAACAGTTAAAGAAAGACGTTTAAGATTGTCTATAAATTCAGCAAGGAAGGATGCTAAGACAATGATGATCATCATTTTACTGAAATTTATAATTTATATATAAATGCAAAGAATGTTTATTGAATTTTTTTTACTAATTCATTCCTAACAAGGATACAAGCAACCACTATCAAGTTGGGAGTTACAAGATAACAAAGAATAGTATTAAAGAGCAAAGAAATGGTTGACAGAGCGCTTAAAAACTTGTAAGTTGTATAAGTCAGGAAATCCTAAAGTTGACAAAGAGTTACAAAACATTGTTGTGCAAGAAAAAAAACAAGATGAATAATAGTTTTTAGAGGATGAAGGGACAGATACATTTAAAAATGCTTTACCATTTACTTTGCGAAACTAAGAAAGTTGACCTATTTATGTGAAATACGGTTATGTAAAATTAATAAGACAGGTAATAGATTGCAACAAATAAGTTTTTGAAAATGTTAAACAAATCAAAGGAAAAAAGTAGCTGTTATCCAACCACAAGAGTGTTACCGCATGAGCTGTTATCCAACCACAAGAGTGTTACCGTATGAGCTGTTATCCAACCATAAGAGTGTTGTTGCATGAGCTGTTATCCAACCGCAAGAGTGCTAACGCATGAGCTGTTATCCAACCACAAGAGTGTTACCGCATGAGCTGTTATCCAACCACAAGAGTGTTACCGCATGAGCAGTTATCCAACCGCAAGAGTGTTACCGCATGAGCTGTTATCCAACCACAAGAGTGTTACCGCATGAGCAGTTATCCAACCGCAAGAGTGTTACCGCATGAGCTGTTATCCAACCGCAAGAGTGTTACCGCATGAGCTGTTATCCAACCGCAAGAGTGTTACCGCATGAGCAGTTATCCAACCGCAAGAGTGTTACCGCATGAGCTGTTATCCAACCACAAGAGTGTTACCGCATGAGCTGTTATCCAACCACAAGAGTGTTACCGCATGAGCAGTTATCCAACCGCAAGAGTGTTACCGCATGAGCTGTTATCCAACCGCAAGAGTGTTACCGCATGAGCAGTTATCCAACCACAAGACCAACCAATATGTTTCATTCATTTTTCAGAAGCAATCTTTTTTTTTTTGGCTTTTGTACTAATATGAGCAAATTTGCTTTTTTATATAGACTATGTAAGACCCATTATATTTGTTAAGACGCGTCATTCTATCAAGATCAGTAATCTCAATCGTATTTTGCTAAATTTTAGACAAATTTAGCAAAAGGTTGACAAACGTGTCTCTAGCTGATACTAGAGACGCGTTTGAGATTTTTAAACATAAGTTTTTTTTGTAAGTCGAAAGTCTTATGGTTAAAAAAGCTGAATTTTGAATAAAATTTATTTGATGCTTTTTAAGATTGCTCTTGTTCAAAACGGCTGTTTAAAGATAGTTGATGGCCTCATTCATGGTCAATTCAAATTAATCGATGTGCTAATGGTAAGTATTTACGACTTAAAATGTTTATATATAATTTCAGTTTAGTTATTTTAAATCCAGTATTTTTATCTGATTAAGTTATTATTACTTTTTCGGTTCTATTTTTTTGGTTCTATTTTTTCGGTTCTATTTTTTGTTACTGATTATAATAGTTGCGTTCCTTTGCTAATTTCGTTAGAATGTTTTTGAAAGCTTATTTGTAACCAATTGTTTTATTAGAGAGTGCTTTTAAAAGTTTTTTTTTAACTAATTGTTTTCGAAAAAGTGTTATTACAGTTGCGCGTTAATAATCATTTTTAATTGTCAATATTCAGTTTTTGTTTATTTTTATGATTTCAGAACGATTGGAGCTCAGTATGTATTCGTTCAATTCCGAAAATTAATAACGATAACGTAGATAATCAAAAAGATTCTAATATTGTCTCTAAAAAAGAAGAGCCAAAGCAGGCAAGTCCACAAAACGCCTGCGAAACACAATCAGATGAGAACGTAGATACAATAGATCCATACAGTATCGATATTTATAGCTTTTATAAATCTGAATAACTACAATAAAATAATTTAACACTTTAGAACTTTAGATAATTCAATACATTTTTAAATAAGTAAACTTTTTTGTAATTGATCTTTAGAATTGACATTTATTGTTTTTATGGTCGTTTTTATATTTTGATATTGTTCACAAAAAAAATTATAATTATATGTTTACAGTATATTATTATCGTATATAAAAACTTTTTTTGCTTAAAAAATACTTAAATCTCCAATAGAGTGACACGGTAACCAAAAGTGCGGTATTACTGCGGTTACCGCGGGAATGTTTAGTAATAACGGGCTCGGTAATACCGCGGTAGCGGTAACAGATTTTATATAAGAAGAAGGGAAATTCAGTCTTGCTTCTCCAACGCAGTTTTGTACTGATCCTGCCTCATTGTATCCTTTACAACATACAACATGCCAAAAATGCTCATTATACTCAATATCATAACATGCGTTGGGTGCTTAACATGCTAAACAATACAGTCTTTTCTCATTTCCTCCCCATATTGTCGTCTTATATACACTTGTTACTCAAACATTAAATAATACTCTTATCACTGAAAACAACTCTTTCCTAATCTTCCTTAGTCAAGGAGTGCAAGTGCTTCGCCCAGTTGAGAAGTTTAGTTTTCATGTTAGAAGTTAAGATCTAATTCTTCAATGGACAACAAGCTTTAAACCCCATGTCAAATAATTTTCTTCTAAGTTAGAAGAAAATTGTAGAAACACTGTATTTCTCCATAATACCTTGCATTATTTTATTTCTTCTTTTTCTGTTCTTTTTACGCTCTCATACCAGAAATATATCATCTCTTCTCCTTGCTTTTCTTTTGTGACCGCATCTTGAATTGTGTCTGTGTGATAAGTTTAAACCCAAACTCAACTTCTTTCGAAGTCTGCTAACTGATACTTAACTACCATTAACTTTCCCAACTTTATCCTTCTCCTGAAATCCTTGTTTTAGAAGAATTTCAACTTTAGCCCGCTTTCTCGGAGTAAGTAAATAAAAAAGCACTTTTGTTTGTATAATTATATATATATATATATATATATATATATATATATATATATATATATATATATATATATATATATATATATATATATATATATATATATATATGTGCAAATCATGCACGTGTCATGATTTGTTATTAAACTTTGTTTATCTTTAGTCGTGATGTCATAGAAACGAACCGGATCAAAGATTATTAAGCATGCTTCTTAGGGTTTATTTTTAATTTATTGATATAATATGTCCATGACATATTATGTCCAAAAACACTGTGATTGTATGCTGTTTCAATTACCGTAGAACGGGGTGACTTTGATACGCGGGGTGACTTTGATAATTTTGTCTGTTAGTTACAAAAATAATGATTTGAATGTGAAATTGCACAATTAGAGACTATTTTTTTTTTTTATTCTTGTACATAATTATATTCTGCTAATATTTTTGAAATTTTAATGATTGTGAAGTGATTCTAAATTGTGCAAATGTGTTAGGAATAACATGACTATAACAAAAAATAACGATTTTTACACGTACCAAAAAATGCCAAAAAATCTTGTGATTTTAATTTTTTTGAAATTTTTTTTTTTCTAAAAATCTATACTTAGATGTTCAAGTGGTATTTTCCAGTTATAATACCACTGGAATATACCACATATATATGTTTTTTTTTTTTTTTTGGATATCTTTTTAATTTTGAATTGAGTTAACAACTAAAGGATATTATAAGTACTTAATATTTATATGCAATTAGTATTATTTTTTTGTTAGTGTTATTTTATAACTGCTAATTACTATAACAATGTTATTGATATATTATTTTTCTGTGTTTAGCATATTAACATCAAATTTATTTTTGTTTTTTCTTTGTCCATTCTGTAGATATATTCGATAACCAAACTTGTTGTCTAAATTTATAATTTTACCAGTAAATCTTATAAGTTTATTAATATGTTGTGTTCTAATTTAGTAAAAGTCAAAAAGAAAGTATTAGCGACACTGTAAAGAGGGTTAAATCAATAAGCCATTAAAAAATAATAGACTATCAAAGTCACCCCAAACGACGGGGTGAGATTGATAACATTTTGGATTACAAATATATATATTAAGACAAAAAAAATTAAAAATATTTAATGGAATTATATAAAGGAAAGGTATAATGTTATAACGGGAAAAAAAAAATCAGAAAAAATTGTAATGAACCAGATTTATTTTGCAAAAATGCTCAAAATCCTAACAAAGTCACCCCGTTCTACGGTAATTGGTCAACTTTGTATATTGCCATCTTAAACACAACACAGTGATAAAAACGTTCATACTCAACACGATGATAATAGGTATGTACGTTCATCACAGACTGTGACATATCGTAAAAATACTAAAAGAGTTTACGATTTAGAAATACCAAAAGAGTACGACGTAAAAATACTAAAATTGTTTACAAAGTATTCATCACAGATGTGACGTATATGACAGACTGAGACGTTACGTAGAAATACTAAAAGAGTTTACATGGAAGCGTTTGGTTGTTAACTATTTTTAGTATGCAACTCTATAGCCAACTTGATACTTTCCAGTCAGTTTTTAAATTAAGTTTATATTCGCTAATTTATAAAAAAAAATCTTTTAGAACAATAGTTTGACGTAATGTATAGATGCATATATTAAGTTTCAAGTATTTGCTTGCCTAGAATGTGGTTTCTAAGATGCCTAATATCTATTTTTAAAAAATAACACTTAAAAAAAAATGGTTTGCTAAGATAAGATCAACCATTAATATAGGAAAAACTCATTATGCATAAAATTAACCGTTTTAATTTTTTAAATGACGCATATTTTCCTTGCTATAAAGAAAAGAATTTGTAAATATTTTCACAAGTTCTTTTCTTTGTAGCACGGAATATTTTATATTCAGGCCGGAAAAGAATCAATTTTCATATTCAGGCCGGAAAAGAATCAAAGATGTTTTTATCTACTATTGAATCAATGATGCCTTTTTACAAAAATGTTTTTCTGGTCCGAAATTGGATTTGAAAAATTTATCCTAAAGTTGACATTTTCCTGGAATATCTGGGTTTCAAAATACATCTTTGAAGCTATTATATTGAAATAATAAACAAACTCCCCCGTGTATATAAAAAATATGAGAAACTTAAGAAATTAGGAGGATGTTTATATCAGTCCAACTGTGAAAGGAACAGGAGTCTTGTATGCATTGTGAACGACTTCGAAAAGTTACCATGTCAAAAAAATTTATCTTCATTTATTTATTTATCTTTTACTTATTTATTTTCATTTATTTATTCTTGAAGCAAAATAATTTTAAATAAATTTAAAAAAAATATTTTAATTTTTTCTTATTCGTATCATTTTTTGTCTTTTTTTTTTTCCTGATATTTTCATTATTCTTATTATTATTATTTTTACTAATTAAACTTATTAGTAAAAATAATGTTCACAATTTTTATGTGAATAAAAATATTTTTTTTTTTTTTTTTTTTCAATATTTACTGTTTATTTGTAATTTTTGGTCTTTAATACTCAAGATTTATTAACTTTTCCTTATTAGTCAAACTTTATTAACCTCTTGCATTGTTCGTTAGGAAATTTAAAACATTTAATCTTTTTAATACCAAAACAAAGGAACTTAAATTTACAAAATAAACTGACGCTCAGCTAAAAATGAAGATTATTTAATCAATTATTGCCAAGGAAACAAAAACTCAAAATAAAAAATCATTTTTTAACAAATAATACTTACACAATAATATTTCACTCATTTAAATGTTAAAAATTTAAATATTATAAACAAAGTGTTTTACACATGTCTCTTGAAGCTGCAAAAGAATTTGGTTTATCGCACGATGAATTCATTGAGTTTCTTTATGGTGCAAAACCTGAAAACTTAGGTAAGCAAATTAACTTTCTGCGTTATATTGTTATTGGTATTTACACGGAAGTTCTATTTTTTCACGAATGGATGTACGCAGGTATTTGTCTATTTGTAGCAGTAAAAAAAAGGTTTCACTTTTTAAGAGATATTACAAAATACAGATATATCGTTAATCGTTGTAACTATAAACTAAGTTTTTACATGTCCTAACAAAAAGTTTTATATTTTATCGATAAGATTTTCTTACTAATATTTCGTAATAATACTCCATAAAAATCAATGCACGGTGATCCAGAATGATTGAAAATATGATCAAAGTACAGTTTTTAAAATAACATAGTTTTGATTGTTTTTATATTTAAATATTTTTAATTTTTTTAACTGGTATGGTATAACAAAATATTTTTTTTCTTAAAAGAATAAATTTATGTTTCAAAGTCACAAAAAAAAGATATATTTCAAAAAAAAAAACTGTTACTTTAACCTAGTTTTCTGTAGTTTTTTTACATAAAGAAAGATTGTTTGCGTAACCGTATATATGTTAATATATCTATCTATTAATCTTCTACCTATCTATTTTCTATTTATCTAAATATCTATATATATATATATATATATATATATATATATATATATATATATTATATATATATATATATATATATATATATATATATATATATATATATATTTATATTTATATATATGTATATATATAACAAATTCCAAAAATTTATATGTTTATACTTACGTCAAATAAGGAAGCTTTTCCAAAAAATGCGATTATTGGAGTCTGGGAACTAAAAAGCTCTAAAATTTTGGCTACAACTGTCCCAAGCAAGAGAACAACAAGTTGATAAAAAAAATTTTGTACTATTTTTAAATAAAATTACATTCATCGATAAATTCTAAATTGCATAAAATAATTTCTTAGCGTTCAAAAGTTATGACCTTATAAAATTTGTAACCCCTCAAATTGAGGGGGTACAAATTTTGAAAGGTCATAACTTAAAATTGCTCGGGATGACGGTGCAACGGCGTAAAATAATGTATTAAAAAAATTTTGAACAATAATAAATTAAAAAAAAAAAAAAAAAGTTACAAAATAGATAGGTGGTTATGTATGTTTTTTAATAATACTTTGTTTGATGCATATTATTTTTTGTATTTTTTGTTATTTAGGGGTTAAACTCTATGTCTCTCTAATTTCAACTATGCATTCTAATTATAATACAAATTTATTCTTTTAATTTTTAGATACTACAAAAAACGTTGTTTTAATTGTCTCACTGCTCTTGCTGACGTTTGCTCTTTTCATAGGTGGGATAGCGCTTTTTTTATGGTTTTATTCTAAAGCCATAAATTCGCAATCTGAAAATGAAGATAAAATTGAAGCCGATTTAGCATGCGATGAAGAGGCATTAAAAGGTATTTTTTATAAACAATGCAGTCACACCTGCCCCAAAACAAACATTTAGTGCCTTTGTTCTAACTGACTTTTTCTCAATTTTTATAAAACTGATATATGTGTGTGTATATATATATATATATATATATATATATATATATATATATATATATATATATATATATATATATATATATATATATATATATATATATATATATATATATATATATATATATATATGTATATGTGTATATGCATATATATTATATATATATATATATATATATATATATATATATATATATATATATATATATATATATATATATATATTAACTACCGTCCATAATCATTCGAATGGTCATACTTTTCGATATGAGATATCAGAGTTTTACTTACTATTGAGAGAGGAATTGAAAACAAAGTCTACCTGAATTATATGTTATCTTTCTATTTAATAGGTTTAAAAAAAAATTAATATAAACTCCCATTAGATTAGTTTATAGTTTACTTGCCTTTTAATTATTTTTAGCGATAATAACCGCCATATATTCTTTGCATTCTACTTAACAACTTAACCAACTTTTGATGATTTCAATGCAAATAAATGCGATAGAAGAGAGATCTTGTAATTTGGCAAGCTAAAGCATTCTATTCAATATTTGATCGTTCTCGAACTCTGTCAAATAACTTATAGAATTTTTTTGTAAAATATGTTTAATAGGAAGCCATTTATATTTTCTTTTGAAAAAATAAATGGCTTCCTATTAAACCATCTTTCCGAAGGTGTGGCGTGATTTTTTAAGTGTATAAGTAAACTACTTTTGTTATTACTCCTGCGGCATTCCAACCAAAATAGCCCCACATCATAAAACTACATCCTGTATGCAGCGCCGGCTTTTAGGGAGGGCGAGGTCGTGCGTTGCACGAGGGCGGCAAGTAAATAGGGGCGGAGAATTTTATTAGTCACAAGTTTTAATTTTCCAGTAGTATATTAAAAATTTAAAGTAAATTAAAAGATTTAACGACCTTTGCAAAAAAAAACACGATTTTAAATTTGAGTAAAAGTTTTTATTTTTTATTATTAAATGTTAAGTTGACTCGATTTAAACAATTTTCAGTAAGTTTAGTTACTTTTTTTTTTTATTTCTTTAATAATTTTATGAATGTATTTTAAGAACTTTGTTAAATTTTTTTTTTTTTTAAATTGTAGAAATAATTTTATCTTAAAAAATATTCTGTCTCATGTCACATAAAATTTCAAATTCGAGAAAAAAGTTGTCTGGTTATGAGTACAGAAAAAGAAAGTCCGTTAAAGATCAAAAATTTGAAAAAATTAAAAAATTCATGAGCATTGAAAAATATGTTGCTTATAAAAAACCTGACGAAGATCGTGAAGATTTTAACCCTGATGCTTCAACTATCTCTACGACTATGTCCAATAAAAATGGAGAACCTTCAACAATACTCAAAAATAGTTGTATAACTTCATTGCAAATTGAAGTAGATAATGAACCAGTTATTTTAAAAGAATCGAATGATTTATCGGAAGATTTTTTACGAGAAACACCTAATTTATTGGATTGTGGAAATTGGCCAATTGTTCGATCTAGCAACTTTGTGGACCATTTAATCAAACTTGGTCCTTTTCAAATTACATAGGAAAAATACCCTGGAGATAGAAATGGTCGACATTTTTCTAGCATTTATTACAATAGAAAGCTTGCGAATGGAGAAACCTTTTGCCGTAGATGGTTGGTTTATTCAGATTCTAAAAACTCCGTATTTTGTTTTTGCTGTCTACTTTTTGATAATAATTCAAAGTCAAACTTAGTCTCTCATGGTTTCAAGAAATGGAGACATTTAACTGAAACATTGGGAATTCATGAAAACAGCGTCTCTCATATGAAATGTTATCAACAATGGGTAGAAACTGAAATAAGATTAAAAACTGGAAAAACTATAGATAATGAAGAAATTAAAATTATAGAAAAAGACAGTTTGCGATGGCAAAATGTTCTTCTTCGGCTGATGAATATCACTCTTTACCTAGCTGAAAATAATATGGCTTTTCGAGGGAGTTCGGATAAACTGTTTACGGCAAAACGGCAAATTCTTACGACTAATACAAATGCTTGCAAAATTTGATCCTGTGATGCAAAAGCATTTAGCACTTGCAATAAAAGGTGACACTTCAGACCATTATTGCAGGAAAAATATTCAAAATGAGTTAATAGATTTAATGTTTCAAAAGGTTAATGATGAAATAATAAACCGAGTCTTGAAAGCCGTTTACTATTCAATCATTGCTGATTGTACACCTGATATTTCTAGAAAAGAACAACTTTCTCTTACTATTCGAATTGTTGACTTGTCATTAGACATTAGAGTGGAAATTAAAGAGTACTTTTTAGGATTCTTTTCTGTTTCTGATTCTACAGGCTTAGGACTTACTAAGGTTTTAATCGAGTTGCTAACTAAGCATGGACTTGAAATCTCTTACTGCAGAGGTCAAGGGTATGATAATGGATCAAATATGAAAGGAAAGATTAATGGTGTACAAAAAAGGATTTTAAATCTTAATCCTTTAGCATTATATGTTCCTTGCGGCAACCATAGCTTAAATTTGGTAATAAGTGACTCTGCACGGTCTTCAGTAAAATCTATAGCTTTTTTCGGTATTCTTTAGAGATTGTTTACTCTATTCTCAGCTTCAGTGAGCCGATGGAAAATTTTAATTGATCATGTTAAAATTTTGCATTTAAAGAAACTCTGTGACACGCGGTGGGAAGCAAAAATAAGTAGTGTTAAAGCCGTTCGTTATCAAGTTGGTGATGTACATGACGCTTTGATAGCATTGTCAGAAATTGAAGGATGTAATCCTGAAACTGCGCATGAAGTGATAACTCTAGGAGAGCAGTTAAAAGATTTTAGCTTTCTTGTCTCTTTAATTGTCTGGTATGACGTTCTTTTTCAAGTCAATATTGATAGTAAAACTCTTCAAGAAAAAGACATGGACATCACTCAATGTGCAAAGTTATTGAAAAGCTGTTGTTCATTATTAGAAAACTATAGAAAATGTGGTTTTTAAGATACAATTATAAAAGCAAAGGATTTGGCTATAGAATTACAAGTGGAGCCTGTTTTTAAACCACTTAAAAGAATAATACGAGTGAAACGCCATTTTGACGAACCAGCCCAAGATGGGATTTATTTATTTTCTCCTGAAAAAAAATTAGAAATCGATTTCTTCAATCCTCTTTTAGACACATCTTTAATTTCAATGAGAGAAAGATTTATACAGTTGGAGAATTATTGCGAAGTTTGGGGTTTTTTGTATAATGTCGATAGTTTGCAAAAAAGAGAAGAAATTCTAAAATCATGTTTAGCTCTTCAAAGTAAACTTACCGTAAATCTAAAATCAGACATTAATGGTATTCTCCTTTGCCATGAACTGATGAGCATTAAACCTTTTCTTTCTGAAATGGTCAAGGATAAAATTACTCCTATTTTGTTTTAAACTTTATAAAACAGCACAAAATGCAAGATTTGTATCCAAACACATGGATTGCATTGCGAATTTTGCTAACAATACCTGTCACTGTAGCGAGTGGAGAAAGAAGCGGTCAACAATGTCGCAGGATAGACTTTCAAGTTTAGGAACCCTATCGATTGAAAAGAATATTGCTGAAAATCTTGATTTTTCAACTCTAATCAAAGATTTTGGTGATAAGAAGGCTCGTAAGATTAATTTAAAAAATTAAATGTATTTTGTGTAAAACATAAAAAAAAATGTTTCTTTGTATGTAGCGTTTTATTGCAAAGTATTGTTTTTGAATTCGATTTGTTATTATTTTCCATGTAATTTACCAGCACTTTTATAAAATTTTCAGGGGCGGCAGGACAAATTTCGCACGAGGGCGGCAAAAAGGCTAAGGCCGGCACTGCCTGTTTGTTATACAGTCTACTACACACTATTTACACTTTATTTTATCATACATTCAACAATTTTATTTTCAAGACAAAAATTCTTATCTTGAAACTAAAGATTTAATACTTCGACACGTGGGTCTACGTTTACAGTCATTGATGGTCCATTTATATGTAGTTTTGCGCTTTTGCATTTTTATTATTGTCATGATTTTTATTACAGCATTTTAATCAAAATACTTTTAAATTATCTAATAGTACAAAAATAAACTTAAAAAATAGATAAATAAAAAATAGCATGTTAAAAAAAATTTACTGAATATATGAATAAACTGAATATATATAGCATGTTAAAAAAAATTTAATGTCATTCGAATAATTATGAGCGGTAGTGTATATATATACAACGGTAAAAAGAGGGAAAAAAAAGATAAATGAAGAAAAAAAAGTGTGGTAACTTAAACAGAAATTTTCAATCATCTTAACAACAAATAACTAATAATAATAAATAGCTTATTTAGCTAATTGTTATTATTAGATAGTTAAAAAAATAGCTTTTTTAAGTGATTTACTATAAATGAACTAAAAAATAACAAATTGTGTATTAAAGTGTGTAATAAAAATATTTATGAAGAATTTTCATCATAATATTTACAATATTTACTTTTTTGTATTATTTTAGACTCAATTAAATCCTCGCTTAAGTTGCCTCAGGTTTCTAATTCAAAATCACGCTACTCTCCAGACATTGCGTTCCCGGATAAACTGGTAAATGATGAAGAACTAAAAAATATACGCGTTCAAGACATTGAGCTAAGTTCTGTTTATTATGCTCACAGAAAGAGAATGCAAGTGAATTTAAGACGATTAAATCTTGAAAACATTCATCCAACCTTATTAAGAAATGCATATATTTACTGGATAGTGCATCTGTTACCAGAAAAAACAACTTATTTTGAATCAGAACTACGACCATGTGCTGAAGAAAATTATTTTGAAGAAGCTTGTGAGTTCGATATTGAAATTGCAGACATCTCATCTAGACAGTTGCAGCTTTCAGTTTACGCGTGTGATAGATTTTCACAACACAGACTTGTCAACGAGCAAATATTTAAGCTAGATGTTCTTTTAACAGATGATGCATCCATAAAACCAATTAACATGCAGTTAATCAAAAATAGTAATGACGACGATGTAATTAACTTATTTTTAGACATAATTGTCCACTCATTAATAAACAACAGTTACATTTTTAAACTTTAGTTCTATTTTGTTGTCTTTATTTTATTTGTAATGTTTTTTTTTGTTTTTTAATTTATTTCTTATTAAAGGTTTTTGTCGAAGAAAAGAAGCAAAATGGCGAAGTGTTGTTTTCCTTATGTTATATGCCAACATCAGGAAGATTAACCTTTGTAGCTTTAAAAGGAAAGCACTTGTGTGAAGAGTTTGCAACACCAATCGGTATTATTTTATAACATAAATGTATTTTTCAACTTAATTTTGAAACTATATTGTTATAATTGTGTGTGTTTTTAAATCAATTTAAAAATTGTTCAGTTATTTAAACTCAAGATACAAAAAAAATTTACTAAGCAAAGACCTGTGGTGTCATTAAAGGTTTACAAGAACACAGAACTTTTAACTCGGGTAATAATGTTTTTCAGTGGATTGGCAAACTTATGGTTTAATGCCTCTAAAATCTAAAAAACAGAAACGGAACTACCCCTTTCTTCTACCCTTATGCAAAATTATTTTATTTAAAAATATGATTTTTATAAACACGCTTGATATACAAACCATAATGCGGTAACAAGACAAAATTCTCAGTATATAAGATTTCAAACGTATGTAATATTTTCATTTTGTTTAATAATGTTATGTTGTAATGTTATGTTGTATTATTTTGTTATAATGTTATGCTGTAAAGTAATGTTGTAATTTTATTGTAGTATTATGTTGTAATGTTATGTTGTAACGTTATGTTGTAACGTTATGTTGTAATGTTATGTTGTAATGTTATGTTGTAACGTTATGTTGTAATGTTATGTTGTAATGTTATGTTGTAACGTTATGTTGTAATGTTATGTTGTAATGTTATGTTGTAACGTTATGTTGTAATGTTATGTTGTAATTTTATGTTGTAATGTTATGTTGTAATGTTATGTTGTAATGTTATGTTGTAACGTAATGTTGTAATGTTATGTTGCAATGTTATGCTGTAATTTAATGCTGTAATGTTATGCTGTAATTTAATGTTATTTTAGTATTATGTTGTAATATTATGTTGTGATGTTGTTTTGTAATGTTGTGCTGAAATTTTAAGTTTTAATCTTATGTTGTCAAATTATGTTATTATATTATGCTGTAATGTTAAGATTAATGATAAGATATTGTAATGTTGCAAAACTTTTTACTTTATTGTTAAAATAAATATTTCAGCTACGTACTTGCGAGTTTCATTGCTTGTTTCTGGTAAAACAATGAAAACGGTACAAACATCAAGTGTTCGTCACTCATCTAATCCAGTATACAACGAGGCTTTTGTTTTTCACGCTCCATTAGAAAGATTCAAAGATACTGATATTATTATTTCAGTTATGACTTACGATCCAAACAAGACAGCACCAAAAATGCTTGGTAAAATTATTGTTGGTCCTGAGTCGGATTCCAACCTAGGTCGAAAACATTGGGAAGCTATGCTTGTTTCTCCGAGAAAACCTGTTGCTCAGTGGCACACTCTCGTCAACTTTCTTTAATAGACCTTTGTTTCACAGATCTATTATTTAGCAGATTTCAATTTTGGTTGCTCTTAAAAAAGTATTTTTTTCATCACTCATACAAAATAACAGTTTTAAAGTAAGAAAATAAAATATATTTCATAAAGCCTTTTAAAAACTTTTTCAATTTTTTGTTTATATAAACAATTAAATTTGATTTATAAGTGTTTCATAATTTTGAAATAAATAAATAGTAAATTTAAGTTCACACAAATTATTATTTATAGCCATATATTTTTTTTGTAAGTTCTGCAATTGGAGTTTTGAATGGTATTAACTTTTATAAGGCTATAATGAATGCGTCATCTGATATCATTTTGTTTGATTTTTGCTTATATATGAACTTTCTTGAGCAGCTAATTGTTTACAAATAAATTATACGTAAACGGTTTCGAAATCGACCTTTATGGTATCATATACTACTTAGATATGCCAGAATTTAAATTCATTTTTAAGTGCTGTCCAAAAAAAAATTTCTAGTTTTGATACTATCCGTATGAATAAGTTAAAAAAAAAAAAAGTAAAATTGATAAGTGCCAATTTAGAATTTTTTTTTTCATTTTTTTTTTTGTGTAATTTATTTCGCCATTAAAAAAGTTTACATTTATTAAAATGTTTACATCGCATATACATAGCTGGAGCAAGAAGAAGACACATTTTGCCTTATTGCCGAACCCCTTATATATATAAAAAAAATTCAACATAACCGTAACATACAAATATATATAAAAACATAAATCAGAATTAAAACAGAAAATAACTAAGAAATTAAAGAAATATACAAATTTCATAAATAAATCTGTCTTGAGCTTACTTTAAAAGAAACATTTAAAGTCAGAAAAACTAAATTCCCTAAACAGTAATAATCTTTTTGGTTCATTCTTGAATTGCTCTAAGGTAGCCTTGTTTCTGTTGACAATATCTGGTAAATTTTTCTACAGATAAGGTCCACAGTATTAAATTGAAGAGGAGGTTAATTTTAGATTATATTTGAGTCGAACAAAGTTGTTATCTGAAAACTTAGTTGAATACTTATGATTAACTTTATTAAAATAGATTTGAAAGATTTTTGGGGACAATCCCATTTTTGTTTTAAACATAAACAATAAAACTTGGTGTAAATTGAGTTTATACACATTTAAAGCACTGAGCGCACGTAAAAGTGGTTCGCAAGGAGTATTTCTACAGGCTCCAAACACTATTCTGCACGCATGTTTTTGTTTATTGTAAATTTTCTTAAGTTTTGTATAGCCAGTACTAGCCCACACAGTATTACAGTAAGACAAATAACTGTGAATATAATATAATATATATAATTGCAAAATATAAGTTTTCAGGGATGTTACATTTAGAAAAGGTTTAGCCTTAAACATTATTGCGATATTTTTTGAAAGTGTGGTTTCAATACTATTTATATGTGAACACCACTGTAAAATTTCATCCAGTTTACTCCTAAAAAGTTTACGAATGTTTCTCTTTTAATATGAGCATTATTAATTATAAGATTTAATAGTTTAAGACGAATGTTTTCTGATTTATTTAGTTTATGGAAAAGTATATATTTTCTTTTATCCAAATTTAGTGAAAGTTTGTTACTTACAAACCATTCATTAACTTTATATAACTGTTTATTCACTATTTCAAAAAGTGTTTTAATATATTTGTGAGAACAAAAAAAGATTGGAATCATCAGCAAACAAAATTAGGTCTAAAAGATTTGTTGCTAAGTATAAATCGTTTATGTATAATAGAAATTAGAGTGGTCCTAAAATAGAGCCCTGTGGAACCCCGCAAGTTATGGAATATGGAATTGTGTTACTTTGATCATAGTACAAAAATTGCTTTCGGTTTGTCAGATACCCTTTGAACCAAAGTAGGTTTTTATTTTTTACTCTGTAGTTTTCAATTTTTTTATTAGTATATTGTGATTTACCATATCAAAAGCTTTCGACAGATCAATGAAAACTCCTATTGTAAAACAGTCATTATCAAAGGCGTTAGATATTTGATTGGAAAGTTCAACTAATGCACGTTCAGTGGAATTTTTTTTAAAAAAAAAAACAAATTGCTTGCAATACAACATGTCGTTCTCAGTTAGATGATTATATAGCCTATTATGAGTTACTCTCTCTAGCAATTTTGAAAAACAAGATAATATAGATATAGGTCTGTAATTTAAAATATTTGACTTATCTCCAGATTTAAAAACTGGTTTTATACGGGCAATTTTTAGTTTGTCAGGAACAAAACCTGTTTTAAATGAAAGATCAAAAATATGAAATAAAGAAGGTTCAATAATGTCAAATACTAATTTGTCAATATCACTACTAATTTTATCAAAACCCACACTTTTTTTTATTCTTGAGACTGCTAAATGCAGCTCTTAGCTCGCTATGTTTCAACCTAGTTTCGTCCATAATTTTAAATATGATAAGTATAGATAATATATCATAAGTTTTTAAATATGAATCAAAAGGACAATATTAACAAAATAACTGTTAAGTTCTTCATTGATTTATCGTAAACAAATTTTTCATTAATTAAAAGATTTTTTGGCAGAGCGTTTTTTTATAATTATTGTTTCCAATTAAATCCTTAATTGCATTCCATACTTTTTTAGTGTTTCCGTTGGTCTTTTTTAATAACTGAGCATAATAAAGCTTTTTTGAGTATCTTTTTGTTTTTTTGAATATATTTTTGTAATTTTTATAAGTTATTTTATTTTTATAAGATTTCTTTTTAGATACTTTATATATAATTTTTCTTTCTTTTTTGAAGATTTTAGTAAGCCTTTCGACATCCAGGGGCTTTGAAGTAATTTGGTTTTTATGATAATTTTTTTTTCTGGAAACGCTACTTCATATTGCTTGCAAAATTGATCAAGAAACAAATTATAAGCATTGTTACCATCGCAACAAACATCGCAAGAAACAAATTATAAGCATTGTTAGCATCGCTAGATTGCAAAATCAAATTCCAATTTACATTATTTTCTAAACAGTTTTTAAAATGCTTTAAGGAATTTTCATTGATCTGTCGCCGAAATATTGTGGATTTTGAGGCAATATTGTTAATTAAAATGTTATTGGTAACTACGAATGTAGGAAAATAATCCGATAAATCAGTTTGAATTATGCCTGTGTAAAGAGGAATATTATAAAAATTGTTAGTTTTGATGTTATCAAGTAGAGTAGAAGACTTTTTTGTAACTTTTGTTAACTTGTTTATTGTTGGAATAAAGTTATTTTCTAAAAGAGTATTTATGAAGTTCTTAGCATTATTATTAAAAGCAAACTTGATTATGTTGATTTTAAAGTCCCCGACCAAATAAATATGTTTCCCCGAATTTTTAATTTTGTTTAGAAATGATTTAAGATGAGTTTTAAACTTTTTTTATATTACTAGATGGTGGTCTATAAATACTACTTATAATTATGTTTATTTCAGTTTTATTTACTAATTCAATGCATAATGATTCACAATTTCTTTCACTAACACAGAGGTCGTTACGTAAAATATAATTAAGTGAATTGTGGATGAAAATACTAACGCCTCCACCTGCATTATATTCACATGGTTGGTGAATTGATGTGTAATTAACTAGTTCAAATTCATAATTTGTTTCACCACTTTTACACCAAGTTTCCGTCACACCTATAATTTTAAAATCGTGTTTAATTTCATTGAATGCTCTCTTTTTTTTCGGAAAGTATTCTTATTTGACTCTAGTATCATTATAAAAAAATATAAAGCTTGCACCATCTCTAGAAATTACCAATCTTGATCAAAATTCCATGACCTGCCTATTTAACTCTTTTTTTTTGAAAGACACTGACAGAATATTTTCAAAATTTAGATTGAATCCAAGTTTAAAAAATGCAAATCATTTCGGGTGCACTTTTTTTTTTCCTGACAATTCTAATGCAGATTTCTTCTGACAATTCTAAAACATCCAGATCCTCGATTTTAAAATATCGAGGATCTGGATGTTTTAGAATTAGTCAAAAAATCTGCACGCGAATCCACAAAAAATAATTTAGATTTAGTTTTTGTTTAAAATTAGTTGTTTACGTAAAAATTAATTTAAAAATTTGATTCCTTTTTTAAAAAAAACCTAATTTAAAAAACTGTTTAGGTAAAAATTAATTTAGATAGTTAGGAATACTGAATGAAAAATATTTTATTTTGGTTTTAAATGCAGTTAAATGTTTAAACATTATTTTGAACTTAAAAAAGGAATAAAAAACAAAATGAAAGACGAATTAAATTGAAAATAATTGAAACCAATTTATCCGTAAAAATTAAAGTTAGTTAAAAAAAATGAATGCTTCAGATCTAACAATCTCAAATTCGAATCGCCATTAACACAAACATCAGAAAACTGTAAACGAAAGAATCGAACTATTTTTAGTTTTTTATTTGCATGCAATGTAATTGATTAAGCATTACGTAACTACGTAATGCTTAACGTAACTAATAATGATCGTTAAATCCATAAATTATGGATTAGGGATCCATAAATTATGCCACACAACTTTTGATCATTTCTGACCCCTCCCCCCTTTGTCATAACATTGTAAACCTTTAGTAACAAGTCCTGTACCAGTCGTCACGAAACTACTAACCCCTTCCCTCCCTATGAGCGTAACTTATTTTATGGACTTTCTCTCAATTAAATAAGGACATAATGGTGACGCAAATTAGTGTTTAAATAAATATTTATGACAAAAAATTTATTTTACATTTTACACTTAACTAATAAAATAATATAATTAAATAATATATTTAATATAAATAATTAATAATATATATATATAATTTTTATTAAATATATTAAAATTTGTTAAATAATTTAATAAATTTAAGAAAAAAACAATATAAAAGGATTTTTTTGTTTTTTGATAGTTTTCTAACCACTGCACAGTGGGCCAAAATCATTATTAGCTGGACAAAAGTAATAACTTTTGAAATCTTGACCTGGTTTTTCCCATAATTACCAGCTTGAGTATATTTCATATAACAAATCTAATGGCACCATTAGATTGTTTACTTGGTTGTTATGGATATCTATGTTTCATAGCAACAGGACATTTTGCATAGTTACCTAAACTAAAACACTTAAATCGTCAAATTTATAAACTAAACTGATATTAATGCTAAAATGTGGGTTTTTTAAGAACAAGGGTTTGTAAGAACAGTTAAACTTTAGCTGTGTAGTTCATATATGAAGACTCCACGGGAAGAAACGGCAGGGTTCATTTTGCGATAACTCATTTTAAACTTTTAAACCTATATAACTTTCTTTTTTTTTTTTAAAGGATTAAAATTTTTAAGATATATTACAAAAAAAACTAATTTTTTATGCAATTAAAGTTATATTTCTAATTTAAATATAATAGTTATAGACTTTCTTTTTTAAGTGAGGTTTTTTATGGACTTTCCCTTTTTTCCCGGTAAAATGTCTTTTTTTGTTTTATTAGTTTTTAGATCAAGTAAAAATCTGAAATATTAATTATTTTTTATTAGCTTATAAATAAAATTAGGCAGAAGCTAATTTTACCAAGCAACCTCACCACCAAGACCTAATATTGACCCTTAAAAAGTCTAGGGGATCGAACTAAAATTAAAAAAATACTAGTATTTTTAATTTTAGTTCGATCCCCTAGGTTTTTATATAATTTACTATAATTATTTTATAATATGTTTAGTGTTGATACTTTTGTTTAGAAAATAATTATAGTTCTCGTTAACAAAAGGCTTCAATTTTTGTTCTTTTTTCGTGCACGAAAATATCACATACAGTCAATTCTCGATATCTTGATTACTTGATATCTCTAACTTTTTTGAATCCAGTCGAACCCTTATTTATGGATTATACTCTCGATAACTCGAACATTCTCTATTTTGAACTAATTAATCGGTCCTTTGGAGGTTCGAGGTATCGAGAGTTGTCTAAATAATTATAGTAATACACGGTGGTTTAGTAATGGACTTTTAACACGCGCATGCGTCAAATTTTGTTCATACGTTTGTAAACAGAAACGATCGCGGTTAAAAATGGATTTTTTACTAAAGTACTATACACTTTAAACTTTAATTATTTGTGGATAATGCTAAATTATCTCTTAGAAATTATGTCAAAACAATATTTTAGGTATTGTAGATTTTACAAAAGTTATTATTTCAATAAACTTTAGAGAAGAAAAGATTTGGAACTAAAGTGAAACTTTGTTGTTTTTTTTGGAATGTTTAACCTGTGCTTACTTTATAGTCTATATTTTAGTTGTAGATTTTTTTAGTCACTATCTTTAGTTTTTTTTAAAATTATAGAAGTGTGTGAATCATTTAAAACTAAAATTATAACTTGGTTACTTTTTTTGGTCATAATTCTATGCTTTTAAAAATTGATAAGTTTTCTTTTTATTTGAAGGTTTAAAATCATTGACAGAATAATATTTATGCCATAATACTACCATTTATTTCATTTAAACCCTTTTGCAATGTCTGAAAACCCTTTTGCAATGTTTTATAAAATTATTTTAAATATCTGCAATTTTCCTATATTTTTAGGCAGAGCTTTTTGTTAATATTTTTTTTTATTGTTGGGTGGTTTTTTAAGAGGTGTTCATCCATTATACTTTTGAGTTTACGTGTTCATTTCATGTGCCAGTAGGTACTCTTCATGCTGTTGAATTCAGCACGAATACTCTCTGCACCCTGTTCTCCATAAATGCCAAGTACTACTCCCCATTTCCTAATGAAAGATGATGCATGATATTCAAGCATATGACGCTTAGGTGTAATTGAATCATTTGGCCAATTATCACTGAAGTATTTCATAAAGTCTTCAATATGATTTTCTGTGAACAATTATATATAAAGATTATATATATATATATATATATATATATATATATATATATATATATATATATATATATATATATATATATATATATATATATATATATATATATATATATGTATATATATATATATATATATATATATATATATATATATATATATATATATAAATGTATATTTAATAATAATAATAATAGATGTCATACCAAGATTTTGAATGTTTTCTTCGTTAAACTGCTTGCAGAAGTTAATAAGCTTGTGGCAAACCCCAAACTTATCAAATAAGACTTTAAAGTTCTGACAAAGTTCAATGGTTTCATTGTGTATGTCAGTATCCTTGAAACCAAGTTCGACTACAAGCTTTAGTATTGAGTTGCATAGTTCAAGGATACTTTTCATCTAATAATGTTTTTTAAATAAGTTATATATGTTAAATTACACTTTTTTCATAGATATACATATAAACAAATAAATACTGATCATATCTATATAAGTATACTTTTTTTTAAATTTGGAATAAACGAATATACTACTTTATATTTAAGAAGTAAATGATTAGTTTACCTTAAACATTTTGTTAACATGGTTACCAACAAAACTTTTCCTATGGTATGCTTATCTTTGCACTCCTAACAACTTAAGTACCTCGTCAAGTTTATTTACTAGTGAACCAAATGACATTTTTACATGGTCAGTTTCTTTCATTATTTTCAATTCTGAGATCTATGAATATAAATATGGCAATTGATTCTCATAGAAATACAAAATGCTGATATAAATAAAAAATACCAAAATATAAAATGTTAGAAATAACATTTCTATTAGGATCCAACCAAAATGTGTTATTTATGATTTATATTTTTAGTGAACAATAAAATTTTAAAAGTTTTTCTTGTGTTCTTTTTTTTTCTCTTCAAAGTGAATTATGTGTGGATCAAATACTAACTTTATATATTCTTCATTTTCAGGGTTAGCTAATATGTGAGTTTCAAGTGCTTCTGTTATGATGCATGTTTTATCTTCAATATCCTGAATACTTATCTGAAGTTGTTTTATTTGATGTTGTTTCTCAATATATTTGTTAAACTCTTTACAGTCAAGTGTTTGGTTGTTTACTGCCATTTGACATGCAATTTTGACGTTAATTGTATGACAAGAATCTTCTAAAATATTGAAAAATTTTAAATACGTACCAAGCGAGATATGTAATGCTGGAATTCCAATCTTAAATTGCAATCAAAATATATATAGTTATGTTTAACAATCACTTTGGCATAATTAAAATAAAAGTTATGGATGTTAGTTGGAAAATAGTTATTTAAAGTACACATCAAGTGGCACATTAAATAACCTTTGGTCAATTACATTATCACATAACTTGGCAAATTTGGGATCTGAACCATGATTTTTATATTTTTCTAAATGTGAATCTAGTGTCTCAAGTGATCGCATTTCAATATTGTCCTTGATTGGAGCTGACATTCCTTGTCTTGTAATGTTGCATAACAGGCATGCGTGTCTACCTGAAGTTATTAAACAATTCAATACTTTAAAAACAAAATCAATCATATAGCAGGAATATGTGCCATATGAGTTTTTAATTGGATATATATAATTAATATTTACTTACCAGTTGCACCAGTTATTTCATAGATTGCACACAAGAATTTGTAATCACCAAATAAAAATATACAAATCTGTTTTTCTCTACGTTTGAAAATTCTTACCTCCAAATGGTATTTTGCAATAAATCAATTTCTGATTTAAATCTTGACAGTGAAAACTTCAGATTTGTTTTACAATCACTTGCTTCAAATATATTAAAGACAGTTGTGTTTGTTTTTGCATTAGGTTTCACTACGTTCACTACTTGGTAACACATTTTGAACGAGCCACCTCCATGGTTACCTTCTATTTTTATATGGATTTCATTGCTTTTAATCTTTTTGTTCAATAGTAAGTTTTTGCTAAAGTATATTATAGAAAATTAAATTTTAGAACTGATTTTTTTCTTAAAATTTAGTTTTGTATTTTGTTGTTGTTATTATATGTAAACCTTCCTAGTCAGAAATTGTTACAAAAAAATATAACTATTTTTATAAACAAGATTTGTTTTTACCTTCTAATCTATCTAGCAGATTTATTATATGTCCTTGCAGATTTTTAATATAAGCACATGGCAATTCTTTTATTTCATAAGAACCTTTGGACTCTTTTTTTTCAACCATAAATGGAGCTTTTTCAATAATAAGATCATCACATGACCATTTCTTAGCAACGCATCTTTGTTGTGCGTTTGAAGCACAAATGATGTTCTTGGTTTTCAACCACCTAAAACAATAATGCATTTAATTATTTGAAAAGGTTGTGATTTTTATTCAATTTAATTTTTCTAGATTTTTATACAATGATTTTCATTTGTTTACCTAGATAATATTTTCATGTTGGCATAGGTACTGCTCATGTTAGCTTTTAAACTTATTATTTCTTCAGCTGATATTTTGGTTTTTAAAATATTTGAATTACTTAGAATAACTTCTTGTTCATTTTCATTGAAAGATTCCAAAAGAGTAGTGGTTTGCTTGATTTTCGACATAATGCTTTCACCACACGTTGTGCTTATGTAATTGTTTAACTGTAATTGTCGTTTGCGAACTGTTCGTAAAGTTGCATCTTTACTTTCTTTATATGCTTTTGGTGTTGATGTGAAGCATAAAGGCTAAAATACTATGTAATTTATGAATGTTTTATATATTATTATAGTTTATTAACATGCAACTTGAAGAATTTTGTAATATCAGTTTTATATCTCTATGTTTTTACTAAAATAATCTTACCCTTGGTCCATCCGTCTGAAATTCTATTACATTGGATGTTGTTTGCAACATTTTTTGTTTAATAAGATAAAGTGCAACAGCATCAATATCCCTTGTGATAACACTTGTTGAATTTAATGCAAATATATCTGATAGACTTGTTTGTGATGATGATGATGTTGACAATGTTGTGAAAATTGGTATTGCTGTCTGACAAATATTTTGATGACTCAGGCATCAAAATATTTGTCAGTTCTGACAGTTTTGACACTTTAAATAATCTACCACAGCGTTGCTCACATTCTTCTTGAATATTATTTATCATTTCAATAACATTGCTAAAGGAGGTTAATTCATTAATTGAAATTGAAAAAGAGCATTTAGGGCATTTTGTTTTAGATAATAATTTATTATTAATAAGTGGTAATATACATGGTGCACAAAACGAATGCAGACAGTTTTTTAAGATAACTGGTTTATACATAATACTATTATAAATATAACAGACACAAAGATGTACATGTGGGTTAAAGTTTTGGTTAATGTCTTGTAGTTTTAGATTTAAAGTTGGAAGAGGTGAAAGTTTAGCTTGTATGTCATTTATTGCTTGTCGAGTCCAAATTTCTTCATTAGCTATACTCAAGGGCCTTCCTTTTATAGTTTTCTTTGGTTTCCTTCCTTTATTTACTTTAAAGCAAACACATTCACATTTCTGGCAATTGCTAATCCAGGTTCTTAATTTAAGATTAGTATTGGAACCTTTTTCTATGTTTCTCATTATTGAATAGCATCTGTAACACATCTTCTGTGGGTGCATCTTTCGGTCGTCCTTGTCGATTCGTATAAAAAAATGCAATTCTATTCTATTTACATGGTTTGTTAAAAGAACACTACGATTTCCAAGTTTTTCTCCACTTATTCGACATAATTTTTTTAATTTTGTTATATGAGACTCAGTCATTTTTATATTTTTTTATAGCTAAAGAATAGTATTTGATGTGCACTGTTTTTAAATTTAAAAAAGTAACCTAAGTCTAATTTTTTTTTTTTAATATAAAGATAAACTCTTCTAGTTTTAAAATATATTAGGTTTTAAAGCCAAAAAATTTAAATAAGCGCTTAATTATCCAGTTTTAGTAGTATACATAGCCATAAAATCAAGCTGAATTTCCCGCATTTTTAGAGATACTTAAATTTAAAAATTTAAATGTTGTGTAAAAATACATTATCAATCGCCATAATTAAATTAATTTAAATAATGGGATATCAATTATACATCTCTATAGCAAAGCTATGAGCTACTTTTTAAGGATATGGTTAAAAAAAAAATTACTAAATAAAAACAAAACAACGATATCTTTTTTTAATAAAAGTTGCGCATGCGCGTGGTAAGCATTAAGTAATTTAATGCAAAGTTTCTTTCCTGATAATAAAGGGGCTTTAAAATTTTATAGGTTTTCAAACAATTTAGTATTTTTTTGATCTGAAATTTTATTTTCATACCCAGACTAATAGTCAAAAGATATATTCAATATCTTGTGATTATTATTTTTATAAATTGTTGTATATTAAGTGAAGCAAAGAAGAAACATATTAAAGGTTATAAATTTGTCAAGAAACACTAAGAAAAAAACAAATAAAAACAAAATTTAAATTGAAGATGAAGAGTAAATAAAAAAAAAAAATTTTTTTTTTATTCACTCTTCATCTTCAGAATTAATATTTTTATGAAATGTCTCAATAACCTCCTGATTGTATGGCAAAGAATCGTAAAACTGAGCATTGGATGTAAACCTTTTTAAAACCTGTAAATCTCTGTACTTTGCCACAGAGATGCAAAGTTTTGCATTATACATAATGAGAATCTTACTATTTATGGTGTCCTATTATTTTTAAAATTAGTTTTCAAAAATAATCCATTCCACGAATCACGATGGAATACAATGCCACTTGAGTCTTCTCTGAAACAAATTTCACGAAGAGGACGAGTTGGAATTGGACATTTATTCTTATAAAATGGTCTCATAAAATTAGTTATACTTTTAACCATACCTTGCGTTAATTCGATAACATGAAATGGAGTGGGTTTTTTACGAGCATTTTTGAATGTTTTAATCCAATCTGATGGATCACTAGTGGGTGTTTTGCAATTAGTTAATTCCATATCTTTATCACATTCCACAAAAGAATGACCACGTACTGGAAATGTAACTTTAATAAAGTCAAACCTTTTTTTTTCATGAACAAGAAAATCCATAAAACGAATTAATGTATAGTTTTTATTTTGGCCAGCACATGAATCACAAAACAGCTGTACAGATCGAACTTCTTTGTCTAAATGTTTTATAAAAAAAATCATATAACATCGAAGTTACCTCATCAGCCCCTTTTTTAGCTATAGTTTCATCATAACAATACAAATAAACTTCATTACTTGAAAGCACGTGAATATTAAATGAATAAAATGCTAATTTTCGTTTTTAGTATAAGTCGTAGGTTGATTGGTTTGGTAAGTTAAGATTTTTTCGGAAATTAAAAGCAATTGCCTCAAATTTGTACTCCCTTTGTGCTTTAAACCGAGCATTTCTTTTCCTAACATAAAATATTTCTGCATCTTTGTGGTGCTGTTCTCTCTTTGACTCAAGCTCATGCAATTGTTGTTCAGGCTTTGTACATTCTGAATTAAAAGATAGTTCAATTTTTATGGCATCAATTTTAATTTTAAAATCATTACATTTAGAACATGTGTCAGTCCTAGGGTACCCAAAAGAAATGTTAATACTATTGTTAAATATGTTGCGATAAGATTCATATGACAATTTATCATTTGCATACATGATTTTAAACAAGTCATACATCTTGGTTATATTTAATTCTTGAGAAAAATATAGTCGCCTAGTTTTTTTTTTTAGAGTAGTGGGACTCTCTACCTCTGAAAGAAGAAATGTGAACACATATTTAATTTTTTAGTTGAGGAGTAAAATTGTTATACTGATTCTTGTGTTTACCTCTTCTATTACGGGGAGAGTGACCTATAATGAGATTAAATAATTATATATAAGACAACTTCCATTAAAAATAAGCATTCTATATTCAATGAAAATATATAATTTACCTTTAGTTAAAAGGTATCTTTTAATGGTCTCCAATCTTCCCTTCTTTATGCCTTCTTTATGATTGAAATAAACGCAGAAAAGCAAACATAAATAAATGAACTCGTAAGTATTTCGTGATTTGTAAAAAAAAGTTTATATTTGTAACTGCTATTATAACCTTTTGAATGAATGTTTCTTGAAACGTTATTTAAAGTTATTAAACTTGCAAGATACGAATCTTGAGCATCCTTGGTGGACAGAGAGTTAAAATATCTTATTAACACTTTTCTAACTTCTTCTTTAACATTATCGAAGCATTTCAATTTTATACAGATACATTCAAGTCCTGTTTTATGCGATGCTAGTCTTTGTTTCTTTATACTTTAACGCAATCTTTCCTTACTTTTACTTTTCTTGGATTTTTTTAGCATTTCTATCGGTATTTCAAGTGTCGCCATTTTTTACATTAACCAAATCACCTGTAATTATTTTGTAAAACAAAAACTTATAGCCGTAAGTATGAGTCTTGATAAATCAAAAAATAAAAATGGTAAACTTGGTTTATGTCTATTAGTTGCGAACATTATTTAAACTCATAAACACTTGTCTTTTCGGGGAGGTATGTATTGTAAAATTAAAAAAAGTGATTAAGTTCCATCAAACTATAAAAGTACATCCAATTGTTCTTTTGATTTGAATTCAGATAAAATGTATAATAATATTGTTTATAAAGTTAAAAAGTGTAAAATGTCAAAACTTTCAAAATGTGACCCTGCCGTTTCTTCCCGTGGAGTCTTCATATATCATACAATAAGAGCTACAAAATTTTTATAACGAATATATAAGAAAACAAACAAACTTTTATATTAACAAGAAACATATTTTTACATAACATACATTATTTTATTATATAAATAATAAATACTAATAAACGCCATCTTGAACACCGACGAAAATCAAAACTATACAAATGCAATTGACACTTAATCAAAAATTGGAACCTCTTTAAGAAGATCAAAAACTCCATTTGGAAGAGCATTTTTTCAGTTAGAAGAACACATTAGTCGCCTTAATAAATCTTTATTTGTTTTGGAACGCGCACACTTTCTGGAAAATGATTCACGAAATTTCCTAAAGATTTTATTTTGAGCATCTTGTGTCTCTTTACTGAGCATGCCAATAGGCAATGGCATTCTCTCTACAACTTGCCAAACATGGATAAGAATGTGATTCAGACTCTGTGACATATGATATCAGGGATAAAGGTTTACATACTTCGCAACTGTTTTGTAGCAGCATTCTCTATATAGTGAAGAGTCAATTAGAAAGTTAGATGACAATGTACACAAAATAACATGCAACATCTTTATCATACTAACATCAAGTTCAAGAATTGCAGACTTGAATTGAGCAAACTTCTCTGGATTCTGAAAAATTTTCTGTTTTCGTTCTTGAATAATTTTCTTTTCAGATGTAGTCCTTGTATCTCACTTTTTCACTGTCAATTTATTACTTATTTTAAGAAGATATTCCATGCTTTTAATCCGAACATGGAGAGTTGAAAGACCAAAGCAGAGACCTATCTCTGTCAATGACATATTTTTAGCTGCATTAAGATCATTCTTTTTTTGTTGGACTGCATCCACAAACAAAACAACACTGAGAAGATGTAGTAGCTGTAGATAATGCTGTTGCAACTTTGCCGTCCACCATCGTTATTTCAATTTTATGATGTATTGTTAAGTTTTCATAAAATGTTGAAGACAAATTTTTAATAGAATTATTAATAAACTGATTCTCTTGTTTCAAAACTTCTTTTTTAAATGAAAATTTTATTGGTCTGCAATAAAAAGTTGAAGAGGAATATGGGTTAGACTAAATTAATATTATTTTTTATCATTAATTTACCCAAACAACAGAAGTGGAACAAAACAAGAAATAAATAAACTAGCTTCTGATTTCTGTTTTCTTTCTCAACCTGAGTTACCTGAGTATAAATGCTTTGGCTAGTTGATCCATCAAACCTAACTTTAGAATGTAATATTAGTCTTACAAGATCATTCATTGAAACAATAACTTGTTTCTGCAACTGTATTAGGCGTATTGCTGTATGATTGACTAATGCTTGAAAGTTTATTTCTGCAGAAAAATCAGAAAAAACAGTCCATAATGTTTTTTCAGGAAAACATTGTTCTTTACCAGCACGAACATTATTGTAAGCAGAATTTAGGTTACAACCTTAGCTCACAGCATTATTTATCAAGCTTTGGTAATTAGATTTGCTCATATTACTATCTAATATGAGCGCTAGAGTCTCATTTAGAGTGTTTTGAGTATGTTCTGAATCAGAAGATTGCTTTAAGGATAAACTTCGAACTACTTTAGCATCCTTTCTTCTGCCATCTTTAAAAAGATTACAACTACTAGCATATCTTATGAATTGATGAATTTGATACCTTGTAATGATTGACATATTACTAATAATGATATAAAACTAAAATAATATAAACAATAAAAAGATGTATTTATATATATATATATATATATATATATATATATATATATATATATATATATATATATGCAACACCTCACCCGAATAAATCTGGACAAATTTCAAATCATTCTTGTTTAATTTGTTAATAACTTTATCACATGATGTGATATGTCATTTTGTAGAGAATTTAATTCTCTATAATATGAAATTATTTTGAAATTTGAATAATATTAAAAATGTTTTAAGTTAACACATCAAAAAAAGAAAATATAAGAAAAACTATGTACACCAGTTCGTTAAAAACCATTCGTCTTGGACTAAACCACAGATTGTTAAACACTTTCAAGAGGAAGGAATTCCTAGATCAACTTGCTATAATATTTTAAAAAGAATGGAGAATAAAATACAACCTGAACGGAAAGTTAGAAGTAAACCACCGGTGTTAATAATGACCAAAGCAAAAGTTACACTTTTAAAAGTAAACCTAAATTGTTGGTCTGGGTAGCACTGTCTCCTAAAGGTAGGTCAAAACACTTCATTGTACCATTGGGTCAAGCTATTAACGAAGATGTTTACTTAGATAAGTGCTTAAGATCTAGATTAATTCCATTCATTGAACAGTACCATAAAAATGATAATGTAATCTTCTGTCCTAATTTAGCATCGTCACATTATTCAAAAAAAGTTCAAGCATTCTTAAATTCAAAAAACATCGAATTTGTACCAAAAGAGAGAAATATTGCTAACACTCCAGAACTTAGACCGATCGGAGATTTTTGGAGTGAAATCAAACGAACAGTTTATGCTAAATGCTGGCAAGCTGAAAATTTGGAACAACTTCGTAATAGAATTAACTACTGCTTTAAAAATTTAGATCCTGATATAGTACAACGATTTGGAAGATTGTCTTTTACTTAAGTTGATGCAGCTCGGCGAAATGGAATCCAAAACTTATAATTTTTATTTTATTTGAATGATAATATTTTTTATCTATAATCATCTTTTTTCCGAAATAAAAAATCTTAATCCGTTAAAAAGTTATTAATTTTTTTCTTTTTGTCCAGATTTAATCGGGTCAGGTGTTACATATATATATATAAACTACCTTGCTTTTTCTACTGCTTTAAGTTTCAAAAAATTCAAATGATAGAAAAAAAAATTTCAATGGAAGTTAAGAATTATTATTATAATTAAAAATTTAATTTTCTGCATTTTTTTGTAGACAGGAAGACATAGATACAAATTATGAAAATAATTCTTTAGGATGGAGATAATTTAGTACAGTCATTTGTTTATATTTTTAAAAGATAGAGTAAAATGGAGGAAAACTGAACACTTATATTTATAATTAATTTTTTTTTTTATGATTAAATGATTTTTTAAATAATTTTTGTTGAGAAAATGAGCTCTATCCGAATGTTAAATAAGAAATAATATCTCTTAAAGTTTTTTAGTAAAATAAGTTTATTTGATCAAAAGAAACTTGAAAAAAGAAAGATCTTTCATTTTACAATAAGTTTTAAAAAAGCAACAGCTAAATAAATAATTTTATAAAAACATATACATATAGCCTTCAAAATATGTATAAGAGATAAAGACAAATTTTTCCATGCTGTCTTTCCAAAAAAAATACAATTGCAACCAAAAATTATATCCAAAACCGGTTTAACATTTTTTTAAAACTTTTTTTTCTTTATAAACTTTATATATTAACAATTATTTGGGAAGTTAATAAACATTAATCAATATACCAAAAATTTATTATACACTTTTGTTTTGTAAAAAACTTAATATTCTCACTTTATCGCCTTTTTTTGTGCAAAAATTTTACTTGAAATAAATTTTAGTTGAGAATATTTTTATTTTCAATTTAATTCAATTTGAGGTCCTCAATGTATCTAATTAAAAAATGTTTAAAAAAAAAATTCAGTTTTCAAACGGATTTTTTTAGTTTTGCCCACCTATTGGCCCACTGTGCACTGTGGAACACTGTGCACTGTGGAAAACTTTAACAAGTTTTCCACATTGTTTCAGAATACTAATCGAGTAGTTAAAACCTGTACACTTACACATTCTCATATAAACTTGATACTAAATAATCGCATTATATTAAAGTTATATTTTTATTTAAAGTTTCTGATTTTGTATTTATTTCAATTATTATTTTTATTACGCGTTTATTATTGCTTTCGTTGCAACATTTTACAGTGATTTTTTTATTGATTTTTTTTCACTGCGTGCTCTTAATTTCATTATCATAAAATAAGCACTAGGAAACAATGTTCTAATATAAATAGCAAACTTAGACTTCAAATCTGCTAAATTCAGCTCATTAGTTGGGTAAACAACAGAATCATAAATAGCACACGCTACCAAAGACGGATCCATTCCTGATAGGGTCGATTTGTCCATAACTAAAAAAAAATTAATAAATAAAAAACAATGCACAAAAAAAAAAAGGTTATCTAAAAAAATTGCATGAAAAGTATAAAAATATATTCTATAATAACAAAGTTTATACTCCTCGCCATAATAAATATTTGTTGGCATTATAAATATTATTCGGCATGGTGAATATTTGATCAATGTTGTAACAATAAGAATCAGTAACATTCTATTTACACAATGTGTACATCGATGTGCAAAGTAATCTTTTCATATTACTTTGCAAATAAATAAAACTACATAATCAACAAAATTAAAGTTACATAAATAACATAATTAAAGCTACATAATTAACAAAATTAAAGCTACATAATTAACGTAATTAAAGCTATATAATTAACGTAGTTACAGGGTTATTCATTCTTATATGCGCGTCTATTCATTTTTATATGCGCCTTTATTCATTCTTATATGCGCATTTATTCATTTTTATATGCGCCTTTATTCATTCTTATATGCGCATTTATTCATTTTTATATGCGCCTTTATTCATTTTTATATGCGCATTTATTCATTTTTATATGTGCCTTTATTCATTTTTATATGCGCATTTATTCATTTTTATATGCGCCTTTATTCATTCTTATATGCGCATTTATTCATTCTTATATGCGCATTTATTCATTTTTATGTGGTTTACAAAAGCAATTGTAAAAAAGCAATTTGAACCAAAAAAATCATTTAATAAAATCATTGATATAACAGTTTATTATTTCAAAGCAAATTTTTCTTATTTCCTGGTAAACGAGTTTAAAAATACTTATTGGACGAAGACTTTTTACATTCGATGATGGTTTATTTAACTTAGTATTAGTTTTTAGTTTAATTTTATTACATTATATTAAATTGTATTATTGTATAATATTTCTTGATTGATTAAGTTATTTTTTATCTAATTATTTATTTTTCTAGATTTATTACTTAATTATTTAAAATTATTAATATCAAATTTTTACCCTATGGATGGAATAGAAAATAATCGTAAAACAAGGAATAATGTTACAAAAGAGCACATTGAAATGCTTAAGCATTTAATTGAAAGAAATCAATCTACAACAAGCATTTCCACTTCTCTTAATTTATCGAAGCGCACAGTTCAAAATCTTGTCGTTAAGTTAAACAGAGGAGAATTCGACATGACAGCATTCAAGTCGTCTTCTGATAAAAAACGAGGTGAAAGACCTATAAACGCTCAAATAAAAAATATTATCGAATTATGCGTACAAGAAAACAATCTTTGCACGCAAGAAGCAATAAAAGAAAATCTTTCTGCAGCAGGCTTCAACATGTCTCAGCCTACTATTTCAAGAAAACTCAAACGCTCGGATTTATCAAGATTCTGGCACATGCACGTGTTGTGCATGTGCCAGAAGAACGAAATTCAATACGAATTATTAATGCACGCTATGCATTTGCAAGCGAAATTAACGGAATTTCAGATGAAAAACTTATTTATTTGGATGAAACTGGATTTAATGTGCACACTAACAGCACATATGTGTATTCGCTAAGAGGTGCGCCAGCAATTTTACAGTCGCCTGCAAATCGTGGCAAGAATGTTAGTTTAATTTGTGCTGTTTCAACAATGGGAGTGCTTGCTTATGAAACAAAAACTGGAGGCTGGAATGCAGATTCATTTTGTACTTTCATAACTACAATGATGGCACCAGCGATTAGAAATGCAAATGTGGAAGCGCCGATGCTTGTTATGGACAATTGTAAATTCCACTGGAGTCTTTCTGTTAGGCAAACACTAGCCTCTCATGGTATAGCTATTAAGTATCTGCCAGCTTACACGCCACAGCTTAATCCAATAGAAGAATTTTTTTCTTCTTTAAAACATACTTACAAACAGGGAGAAAGGCCTCGAAATACGGATGAGGTAATCAGGAAACTTAAAAATATTATGGATACTACAGAGTTTAATATAGTTCCATTTTACAACCATATGCGTAGTTATATAAATCAAGCGCTGGCTCGGCAACCATTTCTTAAATAAATAACAATGAAAACAACCTAATTTATATTTTAAATATGTCTATATAAAAATTTAAAAGCGTATTTATCGTTTATATTAAATTATATTAGAGATTTTATGGGTAGTTGACGCATATACAAACATAGGGATGTATAATTTGATATTAATAATAATTATAAATAAGTAAATTTAAATATAAGAATGAATAACCCTGTTATTTATGAAGCTTTAATTTTGTTATCTAGCTACAAAGTAATGTGAAAATATTACATTGCACATCTATGTACACAATTATAATTAACAAAATTAAAGCTACATAATTAACATAATTAAAGCTAGAACATAAATCTCACTTAAAGTCAGCTTAAATTTATTTTATTAAAAATTAAATACAGTGGAATAAAGTAAATAATTAAGATTAAAATTATATCATCCATTAAATTTTAATGTTAAAAAAAAAAACTGCAGAGTTTGATTTAAATGTTAAAAAAACACATTAGTTATAATACACTATAACTAGCATTATTAAAGAAAAAATAACAAAGGGAAAAAATATATATATGTAAATACCTCCATGCTTTTTTCCATCAGGACTTAATGCGTTTATAGATAAATTTGTGTGAATATAACCTGGATTTACTGTTGTAACATTAACGTTGTAATCAGCTACTTCAGCACGAAGACTATCAAAAAAAGCATTGTTTGCATGTTTGCTAGCCGAATCTATAACAAATAAAAATTTTGCATGCATACCAGTTCATATGTCTTGTCTCTGAATTCTTTTTTTTCTTTTAGTAAACCAAAGTTATTTGTTTGGTCAAAATAAACTTAACTTAAACAAATTACCTTAACAAAACAATTCTTAACAAAATGCTTTATCTTATTGCCAAAAAATAAAAAAGCTTAGACACTTAAACAAACTTTAAAATCATCCAAAGCAAAACAAAAATACTTACAAGCTGCTCTAAAGGGGATCGCAATCAATGACTGAACACTTCCGACGCTTATAATATGGCCTTGTTTTTTTAGAAGCATAGCTGGTAAGAATGCTACAGAAATCAAATTTAAAAACAAAAAAATAAAATTTTTCTAACAACTTTAAAAAGTAATAAATGATAAATATTTCATTGGTGGATTGGTGTTTCAATTTTGAATCTGCAAAGTAAAAATTATTTTTTTAAATGATTACAAAAAATTGAAAAAAAGTTAAAAAAATGTTAAATTTTAAGAAAAACTTCATATTTAGTGGAAAAAGTTATAAAAAAAAAAATAACTGCTTAAAATGAGTTTTATTGAAGGTTATTTGTTAGAAAAATAAAAATAAGTTGTTGTCAGGCTTGTGGAGCAGACTGTTTTTTGACAGCTTGGCTCCGGCTCCTAAGAAATACCCGGCTCCGGTTCGGCTCCGGCTCCTTAACTTTATGAACAAAAATTGCAAGTTTAAAAATTTTTTTTAATCACATTTTGAACGTCTTTTGAACATCCCAAAGACGTCCACAACGTTTAAAAGGCATCTCAAACGTTCAAAAGACGTTTAAAAAACGTCTTTCTTATGCCCCCACTGAGCTCTGTGCCCACTGGGTATCCAGTGGGCACGGGACCTAAAAAAGACGTATTTTGAACGTTCAAAAGACGTCCAAAACGTTTAAAAGACGTTGAAAACACTCCAAAGACGTTTAAAAGACCTCTTTTATATGTCCCATGCCCACTGGGTAAAGCATGCGATTGTTAAATTAAAAAATATAAATTAAAAAAAAATGAAAAATAGTTCAACTAATGCAAAAACTCTGAAACTTTACATCCTTTAGTTGGCACTCTGTTTCTTTTATCTTCAAATACTAATTACGGTTTTCTTATACTTAAAGCTACTCTTTCACCCAGATCCTTTTGCTTGTTTGGTAGATAGAGAGCTCTTGTATTGTTCTATGACAATGCAAACAATAGTTTTGCTAGATTCAGATGCCTTAGCAATTGAAATAAACAATATAGAAGGACTTTGTAAATAGTTGTGCAGAATTTTTTTTTTGTTTTTCTAAATCTTTCAATGACATTTTAATTAAGAGAAACATTTTGATTCGTTTGTTGATGTTTTTAATTAATACCATAATTACTTTATGAAATTACGCGAAAAAAATAATTTAATAATGTGTTAGTGACAGGTTTTAAACGAAATTTATCGTTCCAAATTAAATGATCTCATGCTTTAGTTTAATTTTAAAGATATCAATAATCTTTGATCATTAAATCGTGCATTAAATATTTAACAGCATTGATCAGTATAAAAATATAATATAAAGCAATATGTGCATCACTGTAATGTTTCCATTTAAAATTTACTTTTTTTTTTTTAATAAAGAATATTAAGAAGTTTTATTAAAGGATAGTATTTTGTTGAGCACAAAATCGTTAAAATATTCATTTTTATTAAGTTTTGGCATAACCATAACTTTTAGAAAAAAATATTTTTCAAAAAATAGAAGTTCAATAAATAATTTAATCAACAAATAAGTTTAACAATAAGTGAATAAAGTTTGACTACAGTAAAAATATAAACATACATTCTATTCCATTAAAAAAACCACGAGAGCCGAGAGCCACTCAATTTTTGCGGCTCCGGATCCGGCTTAACCAAAAAACTACAAAAAACTATTTTTACACGAAGAGAGCACAAAGTGCTTTCTTTGTGTCATATAGTAGCTATATTAATAGCTATATGAAATAAAATAGTTATATGAAACAAATATAAATAGATATACAAAAGACATCCTAAAACAGTACCCATAAAGAAAGATTTCCTTTAAATAATTGTTGTTAGTTTTTTTCTGATAATCTTCAAGGTTATTTCTACAAATCAAGATAAACTATTCACAATAGTTAATGGATCTATTTCTTTCCTTTTTATTTGTATAAATTTGCAAATATTTCTGAACTTTTTTTTTTTTGAAAATAATTCATTATTATAGGGCAAATAAATTTTTTTTACTTGTTATTTTAGTATAAAACATAGATCATCCAGGTCATATTTTCAAAATCTGGAAAATTGTTTGGATAAAATATCCGGAAAATATTCGGAATATATTTTCCCTTATATTCCTCTTAATATTGAACTTTAGCTGAGCTGTTTTCAATTTTTTTAATAACTTTTCGTAATTTTTTTAAGAGTAATGAGTGAAAAAGCATAAAAAATATATATATTACAAAAATATATAACTAAACTTGTATGTGTGGAAAACATTTCGGATATCTGGAAAAACTAAAAGTTGAGAAAAATATCCGGAATTTCAGAAATATCCGGAAAAAGATAATCCATGATAAAAAATATTGTTAAATTAACATCTGGGAACAAAAAATACTGCTCTAAAAGATATCCAAACAACAAAATACTGCTTTAACAGATCTGCAAACAAAGTACTGCTCCAAAAGATCTGCAAACACTAAAATACAGCTCCAAAAGATCTCTGAACAACAATACTGCTTCGATAGAGGAAGATAAAAAAGCAATAATGAATTTTGCAAAAAATTTGTGAATAAATTTTGAATTGTAATAAACAAAACTTTTACATGGTACTATGACAACAACTAAAACTCTTTTTTCTTTTAAAACTAACTTATACAAAACAAGTAGTGAAAACAACCACTAAACCATTACATTGGAAAGAACAGAAGCAATGCAAAGAACAAGAAAGTTGACAGAAGAAAAACTATTAACTGCTAACTGAGTCAGGAAAACATGAAGTTGGGAGAAAACTCCATAGAACAATGATTAAAGAAAAAACTAGACAAATAAAAATATTTGTATATATATATATATATATATATATATATATATATATATATATATATATATATATATATATATATATATATATATATATATATATATATACACACACACACACAGAGGCTATTCTAAACCGCATTCGATAGCGCTGACCCTATTTGGGCGCGGCCCAAGTTTAGAAATTAAGGAATTTTTTTTACAGCAAATACCTCTTTTTTTTGCGAAAAAATGCCTACATACAGCAAATTTCTAACAGAACGGCGCCAATGCAGAGGGTACTGCCGCCCAAATTATTTTCCTAGAATAGCTCCTGATATATATATATATATGCAGCACTTGAAATAACGGCCGATCAATGATCGGCTATTTTTAGGGACATTTCGAAAAAATTAAACGGAATATAATACGTTATTGAGAAAAAAATAACATTTGATCGACAAGCTTTAAAAACCTATATATATATATATATATATATATATATATATATATATATATATATATATATATATATATATATATATATATATATATATATATATATATATATATATGTATATTCATGAACATATATGTGTGTGTGTATACATATATATATATATATATATATATATATATATATATATATATATATATATATATATATATATATATATATATATATAAATTTTTGGTTGTTTGCTTTTTTTAATTGTCAGGTCAGTTTTATGTTGTTTTTTTTTAAACTGTTTTTAAGACTAGAAAAAGTTTAAAAATTAAAAAAAAAAAAAAAATTTCTTTAATTTGATAGACTGCCTGCTCATTTATATATATAATAGAGTACTTAACTTTATTAAAATTATTAAATTTTAGTATTAATTAATATTAATTATAATATTTTCATATTGAAGTTTACAGAAAAATTAAATAAAGTAAAGGACACAATACAAAAAGTACCTTTAATTAACCTGACTGGTCCAAAGAAATTTACATTCATTAGATTTGTATAGACATCATCTGTTGTGTCAATTACAGATCCCCGTTGACTCATTCCAGCATTACTAATCAAAATATCTATCCCACCAAAATTGTTGCGAATATTTTGTTCACACTTAATAATATCATTAGGATTTGTAATGTCTAATTGATTGATAACAGGCCATACATTGTCCTTAAAACAAACATTTTGCCTTCTCAATTTCATTTTTTTAAACTACAACACATAATACATCAGGAGCTATTCTAGGAAAAAAATTTGGGTGACAGTACCCTCCATCCCGGAAAAATTTAGCGGAAAATCTGTGTTTTTTTGTGTAAAAAGTGTAAATAAAAAAAAAGGGCCTCAAACTTTTATTTGGGCAGCCCCAAATACGATCGACACTGTAAAAAATGGTCTAGAATAGTCTCTCTAAATACATAAAAGTAAATAACACAAAAACAATAATTAATAAACAAATTAAGCTTACTTCATTCTTACAGATTTCATTTTTGACACGTTTAAGCTCATCAATATTTCTTGCACACAGAATGACTTTACCTCCCTCAAAGGAAAATTTTTTTGCACAAGCTAATTTATCAAAAATAAAAAGAATAAAGGTAAAATTGTGGCTATTTAAAAAATACACAAACATAATAAGCAAAATGTGGTATATATAATAAACCCACAAATACAATAAGCAGTTAAATAAATGTAGTTAAAGTTCTGAAAATTTCAAATCAATATCTATTACGTTTCTTGATAAAACACTATTTAAGTAATGGTCTATTTTGCATAAAATTTCACTTTTTCAGCTAATAACTTTTGAACAAGCTTTATATTTCTTTTAAGATAGCAAGAATTCTACAGATACTTTTAAAAAAACAAAAAAATCTAAAAAAATTGACATTCAGCTTCTTTTTCCAAATGATGGGAAGTTATGATAATAAAGTTGATATTCAGTTTGAGAATTTTTTTGTGATTATAAAGAGCTTAAACTTAAAAACAATATTAAAAACAAATAAAATACAAAGATTAACAAGATTAAAATACAAATCAAATTGTCTATAGATTGACATAAGGTAGCAACTCAAAAGTTGTGAATCACATCTTCAATCATCAAATCTTGATCCGACTCACATCAATGTAAGCCGCAACTCGATTTTTTCAAAACTGATACCTGATGCAAAGCATCTGTTAATATGGCACCTTTTTCATCTTAAGATTTTATATGTGCATCATTTATGTGTGTTTATAAATTAAAATCAAAAAAATTAATGGGCAATTGATATAAATTATAATCGCTAAATATTGTCTAAAAAAAGTTAGTTAAATTACCAATAAAAAAAGTAAAAACTATTTGTTTATCTTTTTAAAATGAATTTGGACCCACTCAGATAGAGTGGGTCCAACTATCTAAGAGACTTAGATAGTTGGACCCACTCAGATAGAGTGGGTCCAACTATAGAATTTACATGAGAAGTCAATCCAAGAAAATATAAAGAAGAGGACTCCGTGAGGTGGTTGCCATTTATTAATGCATGTTGACGGTATTGTAACAGTTGTTTGCATTAAATAACTGAGCTTTGCTGGAGTTAAAATTTACAAGCAACTGTGAGCCCCAATCTGTTACAGAAGTGAGATCAGATTTAAGATTGGGTGCCTGTTTTAAGTGATTAAAAAAGGAAGACATTTTTTCAAGACAGGAGTGAAAAAAATTGAGTTATAAGCAAAAAGAACTATTTTAGATATAAGGTTGTCTGGAAGATCATTAATGTAGATAAGAAACAAAACAGGAACAAGGATAGAACCTTGAGTTACCCCAGAAGAATATATATATATATATATATATATATATATATATATATATATATATATATATATATATATATATATATCTTAAATTGCTGGTTAAGGTTAGCGGTCTGATGTCATACTGAAATAGCTTGCTGCTAGGGACTTTATTACATACATCTATCTATCTATCTATATATATATATATATATATATATATATATATATATATATATATATATATATATATATATATATATACATATATATGTATATATATATATATATGTATATATATATGTGTATATATATATATATGTATATATATATATATACATATATATACATATATATATATACATATATATATATACATATATATATACATATATATATATATATATATACATATATATGTATATATATATATATATATATATATATATATATATATATATATATATATATATATATATATATATATATATATATATATATATATATATATATATATATATATATATATATATATATATATAGGGAAAGCGGAATAGTATCAAAAATTAACTGATTGAAAAAATGATTAGTATCGAAAAATAACTGACAGAAACTCATTTTAATGATTAAGATCGAAAATGTGTTTTTCAGATTAATATCGAAAAGTTTTTATATCAAAATTCATAAATGTTTTAATACTAAGTCAATTTTCGATAAGAAACTTATTCAAGAGTTCGATGAATATTTCTTAACTTTTCACCTAAATATTGCATCAACTTTGCACAAAGTTAGAACTATCTACAATGGAGAACAGCACTTTAAATTTACAGTTTTATTTGCACGCGCAATAAACAGTTTGAAATTTAATCAAAATTTGAAATTTAAGAAACTTTTAAAAAACTCAATATTCCATAATGTCGTTAGAGAACTTATCAAAAAATTATAATGAAACTGAAGGAGAAAGAAAAAATTCAAAAGTGTTTTGGTCAGGTGATTTTGGATACACTAAAGATAAACTTTATTAAGACAAACTGCATCTTAAGTGTTGCTTTTTTACAACAATGAACTGCAAAAGCAGTGTTTTTATTCTGAATCTGTTAGTTTTCCTCAAATTATCTTAAGTCTTCAGCAAAAGAGAAGGCTAAATGAGCCCTCAAATCCAAAATCACCAAAAGAAGCTGCTGAAGTTCTAAATGACAAAGAAAGTCATCGCTATGGAGACATTTTATTTGGATCAGTTGCAGAATAGGACAACGTAACATTGCTGTTTGGGCATATGCTAGTCATCAACAAGGCAAAATCAGCCAAAGTGTGTTTTATTGATGGAGCATTTAGATATTTATGTATGTATTTAACTTTTTCAAAGCAATATATGTTCTAGAAGAACATATATTTATCTAGGGGGCTGTCCATTAATTATGTCAACAAACTTGTGGCAATTTTAACCTCCCCCCTCCCTTGTCAACAATTTGTCAAATTTCTGAAGACCCCCTTCCTCTGAAATAACAGTAATTTTTTGATAAATCCCCCACCCTTCCTTTAATAAAGAGGCAGCTTTTTTTTTTGAATAATGAAAAAAAAAAAAAAAAAGTAACATTGTTGATGTCAACTTTTCTTGACCTTCTCCCCTCACCCTTGTCAACAATTGTCAAAAAAGTTCAGACTTCCCCCCACCCCCTCTATTTTGTTGACGGAATTAATGGACAGCCCTTAGAAGAAAACATTGATATACTACATTAGGTAAAATTTATTGTACTTCTAAAAAAAAAAACACAAAGGAAGAGAAAGCTTTTTTTTGCAACTCTATGTATAACAACTACTTTAAGCATGAAAAATATGACTGTATGCACAAGAGAGCAACAAGTGTAGCCCAGGAAATTCTAAGTTTCTACAACACAGCGAGTACCTCAGCAATTGATGAGAAGAGTGTAGTTAACCGTATATAGAAATTGATTAAGTTAAAGATCTTGGTAAATATCCTAGTTCTAAGAAAACATCCATCATTTACCAAATCTGTAACTATTACAAACTGCATTTGATATATATACTTGTAAATGTGTTGAGAGTCGTGTACAAGAAAATTCATAACATATTCGTCCACTGTTGCATAAAATATTTCAAACAGAATAATTTTTCTGGTTGAACCAAAAAACTGAACGGAAAATGTATACAGGTTCTATAAATAAAAAGGCTACAGCTAAGTTGCAAAAGAAAGAGATAAGAGCAGTCAAATGTTTGAAATTAAATTGCAATCAGAAAATGAAATACAAGACAAAAGTGAATTACATCAACAGCTACATGAGTGTAATGATGATGGTAATGATATAAAACTGCAACTAAACATGGGTGATAAAGTTCTTGACAATGAAAATTGAAACAATGAAAGTCCGTGACAAATCTGATGATGGTGCTGTAGCAGCCAGAAACATGAAACATTATCAAGAGTTACACAAATCTTTAGACAGATGCAAGATTAGTAAAAGGGACTCTTGTCTTGTATTAAAAGCAATGCAATATTATTGTCTTCTGTTTGCTTTCTCACAATTTAGTTGTTTTTTTAAAATGAGGGCTCAATTGTTTAAAGGTAAACTTCTTAACCGCCAAAAAATAAAAATAAAAACTACCAACAATTTTTTTCTAACATTTTGGCTTTAACAAAATCTTTGCTAACTACTCATAAATTAGTTAATCATTTCTAATCAATGTTCATATTATGGATCAATCTAAAAACCTTATGAATTTTAGGTTTGGCTAGGGCTAAGGTTAGGGTTATGGTTATAAATATTTATAATTCTGTAAACAATAGTTTTTGTAAGTAAAAGAAATATAATATATAATAATTAATTATAATTAACAAAAATAGATTTAAGAAATATATTTTTTATAGAAAAATATTAATAGTTTAAGATTTTCTTGTGTAATTATTTTTATCCTCTTTTTTTTATTCGATTTACCCATATTTGCTATATGTATGTGTGTGCGTGTGTGTGTATGTGTGTGTGTGTCTGTTTGCATGTTTGAATTAGTCTGCTTATTAGAATTGACAGCTCGTTTAAAATAATATCTACTTTTTTAATGTTTTCTAAAATTAAACTATCAAAACGGATTTATATGTTGCATATGAATTTGCTGACTTATTTGGAATAGCTGATAGGCCAAATATAGATTTGTTATTTCTTTTAGTCTAAACCCGACTGAGTAAACCATTTCACACAATTCTATCTTAATTTAACAATGCTGAAATGATATTTTGTATACAAATTTTAGTAGCAATAATAAAAAAAAAAACATTTTTAAAACTAAAACCAAATTAATTGAATCTCAAATACAGAAATACCTTCACCAAGTCCTGAACTAGCTCCAGTTATAAGTACAATTTTTCCATGAACACTGACTGGTTTGAGAAACAGTTTTTTATACAGCCACATCAAGTATGACATAACCAAACAAGGAATAATAAGAAACAAAACTGGTAGCATAACTTATAAATAATTGTCTCCTTTTAAAAATAAATAGTTTAGCACAATTAGAACTAAAAAAAAAAAAAAAAGAAGCTAATATTTTTTTTTTTTGTGTAAAGTTTTTGATAATATAAGGAAATATCTCTATTGCAACTGTCCTAATTTACTTTTAAAAAAATTTACACTTACCATTGAACAAGTATTTTTCTTAAATATCTTTTAAAAGGTCCTTAAATTGCAACATCAAGTGGTTACAATAAATGAGTAGAGTAAGCAATTAGACAAACTAACAAAATACCATCTTTTTTTTCAGCTAACTTGTGAAAACTATCTAGTGTAGTAACTACACAAATTAATAATAAAAAAACATTAGTTTTTATTGGCATTAATCTAAGTAGAAATTGGTAAAAGAAAAGATGCTTTACGAAACTGAAAAAAAAAATTCTTAAATCAGTCTATAAGTCTGACTTACTTTGGTTATATCGTACATTAGGTGGTGAGATACCTGATAGTCGTCACGATAGCCTACCGGATAGGGTAGTGAGGGCATAACTGAGTTTATAATAGGGTTGGGTGCAACTGACTCATAATTGGGTAATCACACTCATTGTTATACGTAAATGTATTTAACATTTAAATTTATTATTATTTTGAAAAAAGGTTTTAAAAGCTAAAACATTTTTTCAAAATTATAAAAAGTTATGACAACAGCTATGATAGTTATAGAGTAAATTGTCTTGAAGAATTATATAATAATTTTAATTATTATTTAAAAAAATATATTGTAACGTTTAAATAGCTGTATGAATCCTAAAAATCGCTGAAATTGATACATTGAAGGTGTTGCCTTGTATAAATCTGACAAGCAAGAACTCTCCAAGGATCATGCGGACGCTAATGCACAAAGAATTGAGAATCGTTTGCAATTTTCTCGGAATCTCTAAGACGGAAAAACTGCTTGATGAAATAACGCTTGAGTGAGTAGCACATGGCGCAAGTTTGTGGTAAAGTTTACTTATTTGAAACCGAAAAAAATCGTTTATTTATGGCACATTAACTTATAATATTTATTAAAACTGCATTAGATTTATAGATTTCAAACATTTTATCTGGTTTTATTCGTTTATTTATAAAAAAAATCGCTTAATTATAGCTTTAAATTTTTTGGAGTTTTTTAGATATTGTATCTGATACCATCTACAATAATTTAAGGGTTATAAATTTTTTATCTGGTTTTCAGAGCATAATTAACAACTTAAAAAAGTAAAGAAAATCTATTTGCAAAGCTCATGATGAAAAGTAAAGTTACCGCTGCACTAAAGTTTTTAGACTTTTTTTTAGAGATATTCATCTTGAGTCGTGCTCGAAAAATGTTTTAAAAGAATTAAAAAGTGAAAACCCAGACGAATAATTGGCGCAAAATGCCCCTTTGTAAAGCACTCCAAATCATTTTTTTGATGTTATTGGCGAGATAAGTATTTTCGCTTAAGCATTACAGACTAAAGGATCTGCAGGTCCTTCTAGAATGGCTGCAGACCTTTATCATCAAGTCCTATATTCAAAAGGCTTTGAATCTGAAGATGCTGGAACTGACTGGAGTTTGCCCGAGAGGAATTGGGGAAGTGTTACGAAGAATCGTATGTAACTCAATAAGTTTATATTGTAAAAAAAAATCAAAGGCAATTGAACCACTATAAAGTGCACGGATAAGTACAAAGGCACGTTGCAGTTTCAGTAGTGCAATAAATTCATTACAACAAGAAGATGCAGAGGCCATGCTACTGATAAATGCCAAGAACGCGTTCAGCTGCTTAAACCGCTTAGTTGCACTGCATAATATACAAACAATTTTTTCAGTTTTAGGTATGTCAAAACTTATCAAAAACCAAAAAAATTAATGAACTACGGTGGAGAAACTATTTTTTTGAGAGAAAGCACCACACAGAGTGACCCCTTAGCCATGCCATTAGTACTCTCTTAGCATTGTGACAATCATAAATAGATTGGAATTAGTAGAGCTTGAAGTAAAAGTAAAAGAATGGTTAACAGACGTTAACCATTCTTCTAATGATTAATGGTTAACATGTTGCCAACGCAACAGTAAAAAGTAGTTAGGAAAGTGGTATGATTATAGTGGTATGAAAGTGATATACATTGAGAAAATCGGAAATCTGTATAGACACTATGTAAATCAATCAAAATGCTGTTTATTTGTTAAATCTGGTGAACAAGTTGAAAATGTAAAACGTATACTTAGTGAGTCTTTAAGTATAACTACCAATGAAAAAAGGCCTTGTTCTTTAAAGTTCGTGTTTCGGAGTTTGAGAGGGTTGTAAACACAACAAAGTAGCCTCCTCGACTGTTGTAAAAATCTCGGCCTTTGTTTGTAATAGACACTATGACATCAAAGATTTTTTAACTTTTTGTAAACAAAGTTTGTACGCAAATTTTGACTTTCAATCAAAGCGGCATTTAATTCCATTTACTAATAAAAAGTTTGATCGCAAAACTACCAATTCAAATGATGAAGCCAGATTAGATATAAAAACAAAAGGGTTTTGAAGGAAAGGAGAAGCTACATTTTTTAATGATTGAGTAACGCACGTAAACTTTAAGTCCTCCAAATACCAACCAACAAAATAAACATTTCGTAAACATGAAAAGGCAAATATATGGAACGTATCTGAGAAGCTGAACATTCACTCCATTGATTTTTGGTACAAAAGATGGATTTAGAAAAGTTTAATGTCACGTCTTACACATAAATTTTCCAAAAAGAACGACGAGAGATACGGAACTGTTGTGACTTGGCTGAGATAACGTCTATCAATGTAGACTATTTAGCCTCCTTAATCTGCTTAAGAGGGTCACAAATCCTATTTAGACATTACCACACCAATGACTAGTAAGTAATTTAATATTTTACAGCTGTTGTCGGAATTAGCCTGATTGAGCGCTACCAGATAATGTAAAATTTTACTCATACCCATTGAACTGAATTTTAGAGCGATACTTTCATAAAAGATAACAGAACGGTTTGAATAATCACTATTAAGAAGACACAAGCAAAAAAAATGCTATACGCCATCATAATAGTTAAAGAAGGGCCCTTCTTTAACTATTATGATGGCGTATGGCAACCCTAGGGTTGAAAGTCTACAGAATATAACTATATGCTCCTATTGTGTTTGCTTAAAAAACAATAGCTTCAAGAAAATAGCCGCATGCAGTGAACATTTATCCGAGATGAATATTTTTTTTAAGACACTATTTCTAGCTATTTCTTTACCTCAAGCTTTCGCCAAAACAAAGGGTATTTTAAATAAGTTAATTTCTTTAGGTTTGCTTAGAAAGACAAATCCTTAAAGGCCAGCAAGAAATGAGGTAGATTGTACTAGATTAGGGGTCGTCCATAAATTACGTCACGGAATTTTTGACCGTTTTCGAACTCCCCTCCCCCCCCTCGTCACAAAATCGTAACACTTAAGAAGCGAGTTTTGAATGAGTCGTCACAAAACCACCAACCCCCCTCCCCCCTTATAGCGTGATGTAATTTATGGATGACCCCTTACTTGTGATCAGAAAATGCAAACAAACACATTATTGCAAGAACTTTTTCCACATGTTTCTTTTTATTTTTTAAATATAAAATAATTAATTGATGAGGCCAGTTAAATAATAAAAAGCAATTTGTTTTTACTCAGTAATCGATCAGCTTTACGTAAATAAAAACTTTATGAATTTTAGTTAAATTTTTATTCAAGTGAAGCTGAGCAATAAATCAGCGTTTTTTGAGTAAATTGCTTAACTTTACGTGAATAAAAATTTGTTGGGTTTTGTTCAGATTTTTATTCGCGTAAAGCTAAACAATTACACTAAAAACGCTGAGTAAAAGCAATTGCATTTTTGTTTTAATTCACACGGTCTATTGTAAAGCTACCGACAATTTTTCAAAAACACTTAAATCTTATTAACTACAAATACCAAACTAAGCACACAATGAACCATCTAAGTTATATAAAAAAATTTATCAAAACAAGCTGACATTTCAATAACTTGCCGAAGATTTGGCTAAAATTCTCACCAAGTTTGTCCGTTACTCATTAAAATTGAAAAAAAAAGCTGTTTGCAAATGACAAGTTGTATTAAGTTGTTAATATCTTTAAAAAATATTTAAAATGGTCAAATGTTTGGTAATTTAATATAGTAACCGAAAAATGTTTTTATCTACGCTATGGAAACAGTTCTTTACCATTACATTCATACTCAATGAACATTGATACACCTATTGAATCTATTAAATCAATTCAAGATATCGGTTTAATTATGTTTTTAGATATAAAATTTTCCAATCACTGTTTATTTATTGCAGACAAAGCAAATTCTTTTACTTACTTACTTTTAAAATTAGTACGATTTTCAACTATTGATAGGAGCTTACAAAGTTTATGTTTGACCTGTATAAGAATTTTTTACCTCAGTGTGGAGCTTTAAGTAATGAAACCTTTTGGTTGGAACAGCGTGGAATGGTGGAGTTTTCCTGAATTTTTAAGATTGCTCATTCTTGCTTTTCTACAAGATATCATTCCCAAAAACTTATTCAACGCAGCAAACGTAATAACAATAATCTGAGATTTTTTTTTTTTGCAAAAAAATTATTAAGATATAAAATTCTCTTCCTCATTAATTGTTTACTTATCCAGCTTGTCTATGTTAAAATTAAATTTAAAAAAGTACAACTTTTGTCACCACTGCGCACTATATTAACTTGTTTTCTCTATATTAGCTAAGCGAACTTTTATTAGGTTAACCTAACAGAGTTGCTTTTTTATATTAATAAAACGCTTAAGATTTTACAAGACTCAATCGAACAAACTGCAGTTCGTTAAGTTAAAAGACGTGTTTGGAAAAAAGGTTTTTGCAAGAGACCAGAGATTTGATGCTATATCTGCGCTACATAAGCAACATTGGTTAGGAAGGCAAAAATAACTTCATGCCTAAATGCTGTCCCGTGGCGCATTTATGCAGGAAGGTCTTATAAAAACTGTTTTAACATGAGTTAAAAATATCGTATGAAATATCAGTTAATATTGTTATCAATTTTTGTATTTTAATAAAAGATAAGTCTTGATTTTTTTCACGTTAGAATCACCCGAGAGCTCAGCAATCACGGCTTTAGCCTAATCAAGGCAAAGAAATGTTAGTAAATAAAAACTCTCGATGATCCATAACAAAAAAAAAAGTTGCTAAAATTTAAAAACAGCAGAGTGTTCAGACACTATCGAAACGACAAAAGTGAAATTAAATTAAAAAAACTTATAATTAATTAGTTAATGCACCTTTTTCAAACTATTTTTAAAATTTTTTAAATTTAACTTGTTCTTACTAAATAAAACAAAATTCTGAGTAAACAAAAAAAAAAAAAAAAAAAAAAAAAAAATTAAGCAAAAAACTGAATAGTAAATTAATGTAGAAAATTTCATTTAGATTTATAATAATATAATTTAAAAAAGAAGATTTATAATTGTTTATAGTTTCAAATTAATGATGGAAATAGACACATGTCACGATAAGGAGAATATAATATGCTCTGATATTATCAACGATGAACGCCAACCTACAATATCTAAAAATGAAAATTCTAATATAAAAGGGGATCCACTTCATCTTAAATTTGTTTGGAATAAACAAACGTATGACATAGATTCACTTGGCATGCTTAATTCAGTTTTAGAGTTAAGAGAAAAAATTAAGGAGAAAACAGGTATAAAATTAAATTTGTATTAATACAATTCTAGATTAATTAAATAATATTGATTTTAGATAAATTATATGTATACATATATCATTTAAGTTGTAAATTTTACTTATATATAATATATTTTTAATTAAATTTTACTTATATATAATATATTTTAAATTAAATTTTATATATAAGTTAAAGAATCTTTAATGTTTATTAGTTTAATTGATTCTTTTTTTGTTTTTCAAGGAATACCCATAGATAATCAAAAGCTCATGTTTAAAGGTATATATTTTTCAGTAAAAAAAACATTAGTATAAATTAAATAGGTGTATTTTTCATTTTAACTAGATGGTTTAGTAGTTTTAATGGAGTTTTTGTCACCGTTAGGAGTATTGGAAATAATAACTAAACTTTTTTATTATAAGTAAAATTTCATCTTAAGTAAAATAGGATAAAAAATTAAATGTTTTAAAATAAAGTAAGTAAAAATAAGTTTTTTAAATTTAATAACAATATGATAATATTGATGAAAAACACTAGGAGAGAGAGAGAACGACAGACAATTTAAAATAAAAGGTTTTGTTATTAAATGAATTAATGACATTGCAATGTTTTGTTTTTTTGACTTAAGTAAAATGCTTATTTTTATTATTTATTAAAATTTATTAATGTTTTTAATTGAAATTTATTGATAATTATTTATTAAAAACAAATATAGTCAAAAAACAAAACATTGTGATATCATTAATTCATTTAAGAACAAAAACTTTTATTTTAAATTTTCTGTCGTTCTCTCTCTTTCCTAATGTTTTTCAGCAATATTAAAAGTTTAAATTTTTAATAAAAATTTGTTTGTTCATTACTATTTATTTGTTTGAATAATTTATTTATTATTATTTATTTAAGGGAATCATGTAATTGTAGAGTTTGGTATTTTAATTTTTTTTATTGTTTTGTCTTTTAATTAACATCTTTGGTACCAAAGATGGTTCTGGTTTAAAAGAGTACTTCATCAGTTCGTTGTGGGTAAAAGAGTACTTCATCTGTTCAATAACATCTGAAGAGTAGTCCAAGGTCATCTGTACAATTTTATTCAAGATCATCATATTTTATTTTTCCAATATCATCTGGAAATTCAATGACCCCTTACAATATCTTTAGGAAGATGTAACTACATCTGGTAATTTTTCTGAGTCCAATAAAATCTGGGCGAATTTTCTCCAGATGGGGCTTAATGGTAAGACTAAATTTGTCTTCTTCTAGCCCCGGTCATGTAATTATTTTTTTTTATAAGTTATAACTGTAAATTTTTTTTTATCGGCAAAAGTGTAAATAAATAAATGTAACTACATCTTAAAAAACTATATGAAACTACATCTGGTTAAAATGATGTGTTTATACTTAACATTTTTTTAATTTGCAACTACATCTGTAAAATTCACTGATGTAGTTGTACAGATGTAGTTATTTTTAACATAATTGAAAAGATGCAACTACATCTGTAGAATTCGCAGGTGTAGTTGTATAGATATAGTTATTCTTAACATAATTGAAAAGATCTAATTAAATCTGTAAAATCTCCAGATTTAGTTGCACAGATGTTTTTATACTTAGATAATTGAAAAGATGTAACTACAGCTGTAGTAATTTTATACTTTTTACACAGATATTATTAGATATCAATGAAACTTCAGATGTTGTTGGACAGATGTTATTATACCTCCGTGTATTTATAGATGATGTTGGACAGATATAGTTATACATCATTATAATTATAGATGTTGTTGGACAGATGTTATTAGACATTTCAAAAACTGATGTTGTTACCCTGAATCCTTTTGTGTGGTATTTCCATAAGGCTATTTTCTTATTTGAATATTACATTATGGAAGAGCTGAAGCAATCTTTTCAATCTTTTAAAGTTGTGAAATGCGTGGTTAAATGTTGCACAACACATCCATAATCACCTCCTAAAATTGTATTTTTTTGTTACGATATGAATACTTTCTAAATATTTTATCTGTTGCTATACAATTCCAGCGCTATGTACAGGTAGAATGTGATTCAAGTTTTAAGTGTTTTTTTTTTTAAATTTTAGACTAGATTGTTTCCACTGGATTTAATATTGGTCTCTAGCATCCTAAACATTACAACTAAGTTTTTTAACAGTCTTTCCAAAACAGGACTAGGAACATTATCTGCTTACACAACTTAAATATATTATTATATATAACTTACTTAACATCCTTTAAAATATTGAGATATAATGAGAGTATAAAAGCTTGTTCAAGAGTTAGGGAGGGAGAAAAGTTGTTAAATTAATTTTTTATAAAATACTTTTGATAAAAAATTTTAGGTAAAGATAAAACTTGTTTAATTTAACATTGAAATTTTGACTTCCTCCTATTAACAGGCAGTGTAGCTGAGAGCTTTTTTTTTTTTTCGGTATCTTCTTTTTATTTGGTGCCCTTCGAATATATGCCGCCCGGGACAAACTGTCCCTTCCCCTCTCCTTCCTCTCAGCGGCCTTGTTAACAGGTATTGTCTTTTTCTGGATATATCTGGAATTCTTGATATTTTATTCAACTTTTAGTTTTTTTGGATTTCAAAAAAGTTTCCCATAAATACAAAAACAAGAAATTTTAAAAAAATTGAGAAAGCCATTAGTTTAAAGTTAAATTAGGGCAAGTAAAAGGGAAATAATCTAGGTCATTTTCAAAAAATTCTCCGGATTTTTTGAAAATGATTTAGATGATCTCTGTATTAACAAAGCAATGATATAGAATATTAGCATTATATCATTTGCTTTAATGTAGAACACGTTTTTCTGTTTTGAACAAACATAATAAGCTGTTATTAATTTCTAGAATGGAATGTTAAACTTTAGGAGTAAGCAGGTAATTTCTGTAGACTACCCTTGTACCCTTTATCTATTGATATAGATGTAAACCTGTGTTACATTGTTACCTAGGTTGATGAACCCTGGATTTTCTTGACTCTACTTATTGGTTTTTGCTCAATTAACTCAACAAAAGCAATGCAGAAATAGAATTAATAATGGAATGTTTATTTTCTTTAAATTTTTTGAAATATTAAATAATTAAATTCAAAATTATATTTTTTAAAATGTTTAATATAAACTAATTTTTTTCTTTTCTTGACATAAGTATAAAACAGTTAAATTGTTAATTTATTATTTAAAATGATAATATATATATATATATATATATATATATATATATATATATATATATATATATATATATATATATATATATATATATATATATATATATATATATATATATATATTATTATTATTATTATATCTTAAATTTTTAATTTCTTTTTCTTTTATTTTTTTGCTTACGTAAGCATTTTTTCCCTTGTTGAAGAAGAGCATTAACAGAATGTCACTTAAATGTTACAAATAACAGTCGTCTGCATCTTTTTACTACTGCTTAAGCATTCGCAAAAATTTTAGTAATATTTGAGTCAATACAAAACTCAAGGAAATAGATATATATTCTATTAAAAAAGATAACGAATAAAGATCATTTAGTTTGAGTGCTAACCTTATTGGAAAGTCTGAATATAACACATACCTTTAACAATGAATTAAAAGATTAATTTAAATAACTTTTTAATCAAAACTTTTTCTAAATTTTAAGGACTGTGCATTTTTTGAATAGCACTTAATTCATTATTTATATAAAATTGCTTTTACAAATAAGTAAATATTGAATAAATAAATGTTGAATATAAAGTATGATAATGCAAAACTTGTTTTTATTAAATATTTTATAATATTTATATTTTATATTATCATATTTAATAAAAACCTTGTTTTTATATAAAAACAATATAATTTTTTTTGTTATTAATTTATTTTTACTATTAAGTAGAAATTTTAGTATACTTTTTTATTGCTTTAAAAATTTTTATAAATATTCTTGTGCTTGCAAAATGATAAATAAAATTTTTTTATTATAAAAATTTTTTAAAATGAAAAAAAAATTAAATAAATTTGTTTTTTGTTGGTATGTACTTTGATAATAAATTTTATTTTGTTTTTAACTTTATTTGAATTTTTTTTTAATTTGTAAATAGCACTTATATCCAACATGTTTGTGATTCAAACTTTTGTAACAAACTTTTTTACATAATAGTTTTTTACAAAGTTGTTTAACAAAAATCATGATAATCGTACATAAAATAACTCAACACATACAAAAATTGCCAGCAACATAACACTTTAAAACAATGCCTGTAGTATGACCCTGCTAGTAATGCTGTAGTACTACTGACCCTGCTAGCACTAAGGTTCAAAATTAACTCAAGTAGTTAATAAAGCAACTTATTTTCCAGAAAACCCTAATCACTTTTCACTCTTTGATTTTTGTTGTGATGAAACAAATACTTTATTGCTTTACTAATACAAATCCTTGAGAAGCAATAAGTGTTTAATAAATACAGCTATATACTCCAGTCTTGACAAAAAAGTCATCAAAATTTATACATTATTTTTTTTACACTTTCCTAAACATTTGACCTTTGTTTAAAATCCATCATTATTACATTTAAACAATAATGCTGTCATTGCTGATAGAAACCAGCTTTTTTTTTTTTAAAGCAATCTAATGCTAATAAATTACACAGTTACATGCCAGTATCACATGTAGCATTTATATATTTATGAGCGTTCAAATCAAGCATATATGTTAAAACCCTGCATAAATAAGCATTTTTAGAAAAAACCTGCTTGGGCTTTTTGGAGCTAGCAGGCCCCTGTGTACATTAAAACATTGTTTGACTTAGTATATGAATTATTGTCACTGTTTTTTAAAGAAATTAACAGTGTTTAATTTTAACTTGTTTCTCTGCACAAAAGCCTTGTATGTCAATTTTATGTTTTGGAGTTATAAAGTTGAAACAAAACAAATATAAACAACAATTAAGTAGCCTTGGATACTGATGTTATTTTTAACAACTATTTAACTTACCAACTACAAGAAATTTTATACTATTTATTACAAGAAGAATTATTTTATGTTTTTAAATAACTCTAAATTAAATGTTTATGTTAATAACTTCAATATTAATAACCACTAAGCCCAGCTATGATGGAGTCACTAAGCTTAGCTACGATGTAGTCACTAAGCTTAGTTATGATGTAGTCACTAAGCTTAGCTACGATGTAGTCACTAACCTTAGTTACAATATAGTCACTAAGCTTAGCTATGATGTAGTCACTAAGCTAAGTTACGATGTAGTCACTAAGTTTAGCTACGATGTAGTCACTAAGCTTAGTTACGATTTATTTTCTTTAACTACTTAAGTTTGCATGGATTAATTTATGACATAATATAGTAAAAAATTATTGTAGTTTCCTTAATTTTTTTTTTTTTTTTATCTATACAATTAAACAAATAAAAAAATTAAAAAAATATTCTCAATATCGATTTACTAAATTTTAAAGATTTTATTTTTTTGATCAAGGTTTAGTCAAAGACGATTCTTCAACATTGAAAGACATTAATGTTATAAACAATTCAAAATTTATGGTTGTTGGATCTACTGCACATGATATTGAAACTATAAAAACTATATCTCCTCACCAGATCATTCAAGTGCAGCAGGCAGATGGTATGTTCATTTTACCTAATAAACACAACTGTGTTATGTTAATTATCTACTATTATAATAAAACCTTGTTTACTACAATAGGATGTTTATATTTTTTGCATAATTATTTTATAAGGTTAACTTTTAATCATATTTTAATCAAAAGACTACTTTTCTTGATTGCTTAGAAACAATACAAGCATAATCTTTCCTCTGTAACTCTGAAACAGTAATGTTTAGGATGTTTAATCATCATCAGGCCTTCTTGTAAGAGGCGTGCAATCGCACGCCTTATATGACTATGCATATAGTTCTTTGTTTTAACAACTTGACTAGAGCTCTTTGCAAGTTTTGATAATTAGCGCGTTTAAAAAATGCTCTAAAAAAAATGATTTTTTCCATAATTACAATTAAACTGCCACAAAATTTCCTGAGTACTTTAATGCAACTTAATAAAAGGCAATCATTGAAAGAAATATTCAGATTAGAGTTTAAGGCAAAATGAGTACAGAAGCTATCAAAAAATTATTAAAAACCATTTGATCATGGAAATATAATTTCTAATAAAGAAATAAAATACTAAAAAATAGATACTAAAAAAAAGAATTACAATAATCTTGAAACAATTGCATCTGCCAATCACATCTTTTTTTTTACACATTTACAAAGTGCGCACAAATTAATGATAAATGCACAGTAAAAAAAACTTTTTAAAGTGTTTTTAATATGCAAAAAAACATTGCTTCACTTCATGGAAAATAAAAAAATTAAAAAAAAAAAATCATAATTCCTTTCTTTTATAGCATACTTAGCTATTTTACTTAAAGTGACGCTATTGAAAAAAGTAATTATGTTTTGGCATTTTTTTAATAAAGTCTCTAAAATTAATTATTTTTCATTTTAAATACGTGTTTTTTTATAATAAATTAAAAACTATAGATTGCAAAATTATTTTGAAAAAAACTATTGAAGCAATGCGTTCGTTTTGAAAAATCTTAATCAACGGCTTCTTTAATTTTGCATAAGCAAAATTAAAGAAGCGTGATGTTTGTTTTTCTGTCTGTCTGCAAGAAATGCATGCACATTTGTCAATTTGTCGCACCCTGTATCCTATTAATATTTTAACAAAATTTTAAATTAAAAAATTTGCACCACAAAATTTTATTAAATTTCATGGCACTTTCAAACAGCCTAAGTTACTTACAGTTTATAAATATCAATTTCTAAAAAAATAAATAAAAAATCTTAGGGGAGGGGGAAGACCCCCTTATGACCTTTTCCCATAAGGGCGTTTTAGCATAAGTGCGCCAAAAGGTTTTGCAAACGTTGGCATAAGTGCAAATTGGCACAAGTGCAATTATGCATAAGTGCAAAGCAATTGCAAAAACTGGCATAAGTGCGAACTGGCATAAATATGCCAGTTTGCACTTATGCCAATTTGCACTTATGCCAATGTTTGCAAAATTTTTTAGCGCACATATGCCAGTTCGTACTTATGCCAGTTTTTGCAACGCTGCACACTTATGCCAGTTCGCACACATGCTAATTTGCGCTTATTCAGCCTCCCATTTTTTCAGTACTAAAATCAACAATGTATTTATATCAGAACTAATAAAGAGTGTACAAATTTCTTTGTTATAATGATTATACATATTACTTGCATCTATATTAATATAATTTTCATTCTTTAGGATAAGAAAATCTACAAAATGTAAACTCTTAGTTTAAATATACATATATATATTTCAAAAGCTTTATTTTTTTTTTATTCATTTTTTTTAAATTTGACATTGAATCTTTAGTAATTCCTATTTTTTTAAAATTACATCAGCTACCAAACGTTTATGGTAGTAAGAATCTGTTGAAAATAAATCTTAATTACATTGTTTTAATGCACTTTTATACACATTTTTTTCAGAATTAGTATTTGTTTTTTTTTTGCATTTTGTATTGTTTGACCGCATTTCGATCCCAAAAAGCTTCGGAAAAAGTTTATAAAATCTAATTTTAGAACGGCAATGGTACTCTATTGAGTTTTTTACAAAAACTCAGGTGTAATTTAAATTTAAAAAAATTATTTTTTGTATTAAAATATTTTTGTACATGTAAAGATTCTGAAATTCAAATTCAATCAAATTTTTTTTATTTTCAATAATAAAATCTGAGATTACCAAAAGCAGCTGAATTTCAAAGTTTTCATATTGCAATCAAATTATCTGTAAAAATAGATAATGTAAAATCATCTGTTAAAATCTACTTTTTGATTTTTTTTTGTTATTGAAAGATCTTCTAGTTCCTTAAACTATGTACTCACCACTTTTCTATCCACCACTTTTCTATCCACCACTTTTCTATCCACCACTTTTCTATCTACAAACTACTTTTCTATGCACCCGCCAATTTTTGTTTGTTAAGTTAAGTTACACGGAACAGGCGTGTTCCATAAATCCATCAGCAGCTAGCCGTGAAAGCTCATGGGATATTGCACGGAAGGTGGTGCTGTAGTAATTATGGTAGCTGATCGTGTTTCACTTTGTAGCGGTCAGCACTGATAGCACTGACAGCTTCGTTAGGCAGTGCGTTCTATTGGTGAGGGACACAGTTGTAAAAGAAGTTATAGTGAATGAGGCAGTTGTTGTCCATTTCACAATGAAAGTGCTTGTGATGATTGTAGCTTGGTGGGATGTTTGGTGGATGTAGTATACACTGTAAATGTTGTACTATATATATTTTGTTACTTTTTCTTTTAAATCTAAGTTTAACTATCTATAACATATTTGGAATTCAAAGTACTATTTGAGTTGTGATTAGCTTATATTACCTTTTTTTTTTTTCTTTTTTTTAAAAAACTATTTTTTTTTTTAAAACTATGGAATATCATCCTTTTCATTATTTTTTCATCATTTTTTTCATCATTATTTTTTTTAAATATATGATCTTGTAAATCTTGTTTTTTTACCATAAACCTTGTTTTCACAATATATTTACTTACATTTTTTTTTAGCAGCTTCAAGTAAAGAGCCTTTATGCAAACAGAAGGTTTTTTTTTTTTGTTTCTTTTATGTATATATATTCTATATTCATAATAAATTTGTGTCTGGTCATGGTGTTAAAATTAAGTTATATTGTGTTATATATGATGTTATATTGCGTTACATATAATGCTATATTGTGTTATATATATTATAGTGTGTTATATATGATGTTATGTTGTGTTATATATGATATTATATTTAAATTGTTAATTTATCCTAAATATATATATAAATATATAAATATATATATATACATATATATATATATATATAATATATATATATATATATATATATATATATATATATATATATATATATATATATATATATATATATATATATATGTATATATATATGTATATATATATATATATATATATATATATATATATATATATATATATATATATATATATATATATATGTATATATATATATACATATATATATGTATATATATACATTAGGGTAGGTTGACTTTGATTCCGCATATTGTGTAATATTGCAGTAGTTGGAGACAGTTAAAATATGATTACTTTCAAAATTTGAGAGTTTTTGGATGAAGAATTGCTTGCAGATTTAATTTTTAAGATTTGTAGGATTATGCGAAAAAACACCTTAAAAGGCGTTATATGCAAAAATTGACATTTTAAATATGTTCATATTTAAATGTTTTTAAATATTATTTGCATTGTTGAATGATTTAAGTTTATAATAATTTATAACAATTAAGCTAAATTTATAACTATTTAAATCATTTAAATAATGAAGCTTTTATTCTTATATTTACATAAGAATATCAAAATAAACATTATTTTCACAATTTAAAACATTTTGAGCATGGATATATATTTTTAGGAAAACATTTTCAATTAAAAAATATCATTATAAGAATAGGAGTTATGCCCTTTTGAAATATATGATTTACGCATCTTCCTGCTAAGTAGTTTAGTTAAAATGCAGCTGTGTCAATTCTCGAATCCATAAACATATTGGGATGCTACTGACAAAATTTTCTTCCACTTGCTCAACACTCTGGGAGTGAGATGGTGGGGAATTTCAGGTTTAACATTATTGTCAATCAAATATTGGATTTGCTCAATTGAAAAATGTTATGTTGTAGGGGGCTCCGTAACTTTTGTAATGCTGATGTCTACCAACTTATACCAATGATTAGCATTAAAATTAATTTTTGGAATTTTTTTCAAATTTACTTCCAAACTTTTGTTGTTTACTCTATAAACATAAATCAAAGCCAATTACCGCATTTAATGTATCATTTTTTTTTCAAAACTTAATTTTAGTTAACTATAAAAAAATACCATTGCCTTAGAGCCAGTAGGATTTGAAAACCAAAGTTTCTTGCTGTCATTATCTTTTAGCATGGCATAAAGAATATTTTCAGTTTTTGGCACAATGCATTGTTTTTAATGTTTTTTTTTTAACAATATGTTTAACATCATCAAAGGAGATATTATTTATTCTAGTAATAGTAGAAAAAATAAGGTGCAGGGGATACATGAAACTTTAAAGATTTTTTTTATTTCGAACCACGCTTGAGTGTAAAGCTGAACAATAAAACATACAAGTATTTTTAAAGAAACGGTTGGTTAATTGTCTCTCGTATACAAACAGAGAAGGCGAATAGCTAGAGTTAACTTCCATATTATTATATTTAAAAAAGAAAACAATAGTTTAGAAATTTAACTGTGGGAACATGGATATTAATCTTAAAAAACGTTTAAAATAACATAAAAAATAACATTAAAAAATATCAAAGAATAATTAGTAAAAATTCAATATGTGAATTCCCCCAAAAAATTCTGCTTTTGTCTAAAAGCTTGACAATTGTTTTTGACAAGTGTGTTGAGAAGTTTATAGGTTGCATTAAAGCTTGACAAGTGTTTTTGATAAGTGTTGAGAAATTTATGGTTTTCTTTTATAGTAGTTTCTTAAATTGTTAATTTATCCTAAATGTTCTGATATTTTTCCTTAAAGTAATCATGAATGTAATCAACTTTTTTGGAGCTTCGGTATTGATAGACCTGAAATTAATAGTGATGATTTGACTCTTGAAGGCAGAGTATTTTTTTGGGCATCTGATCCCTGAAACAAATGTTTTTAGATAGATTTGTGAGTTTAAAATGTTTTAATAAAAAATAATATGAAACAAAATTTAAATTTATTTTTAATAAATTAGTTTAATTTATAAAAATTGATTTACATGCGTTTTAATTTATACATTGATAAATTATACATACATATATTTATTAAATAATTTGATAAAAAAGAAAGTTGACATTATTTTGTTGTAACCATGGTATTTTATAATAATAAAAATTTTTAATATAATAAAATTGTGCACAATCATTATACGCAGCAAATGAAAACGCATATATATAATTAAAGAATATATACACATGGGTCAAATCATTATATTTCAACCAATTTTGGGAAAACTTTGTGGGGCACCATCTCTGATTTCCCTGATTTTTACATATCATTATCTACATTATGTAGATAGGTTAAATTTGAAATTTCAGACTTCCAAGTGCAACCGTTCAGAAAATATAGCTCCATAAACACTGCGCAGTGGCCCCCCTTGATTTAAGAATTGTAAAAACAGACTACTTTAAAGCCTCATAACTTTTTTCTAACTTTCAACAAGTGTCTCATTTTTTCTAGAAGTGTTTTCTGGGTAGTTCTGTATTAAAAATACTGGTTTTTGTTGACTTGTATCATATTAGAAAAAAATTATAGCCTCCTCAACATCGAAAAAAATTTGAAAAATGCTAAAAAAAGGCTAAAATGAAATTAACTGTAGTACTTTTCTATTCTGCAACAAGTCCCTACAGTTTTGTTTTCTGATTAGCTAATCTTATCTACAACAAACAGGCAAAAAAATAAGCCGCTTGTTGCAGTTTAGAACTGAAATACATCTAAAAATGTATTGTCCATTTGCCAAAAAAGTCCCATTTTCAGCCATTTTGAAATGCTCGTAATTTTTTCTAACACTTTGTATTGATCTAAGCTTAACAGCAATAAAGACCATAAGATCCAAATATCTGAAAATGCAATCATTTTTTACCTGTTGCATTCACATCAAAAATGGCAGCATTTTAAAATAGCCCTACTTTTTAATTATCTAGGGTTGAATGCATTATTAGAAACCAGTACCCCCAACCTGTCTAATAGCATATTCAATGGGTGCAACTGATTATAAATTGTTTCTTAAAAAAATAAAAGATATGGTTGATTGCCCCCATGCTGATCTACTTTTTAACCTGAGTAGGGGCACAAATAAAGGGGCAATAATTAGTTAAAACCCAGTATTATTGTTAAATAGTGACACTTTAAATATTGTTTACACAATTAAGGAGTGTTTTATCTCAAAGTAAAAGACCTATGATTTTTTACAAAATACTGTTGAACATTTTTTATTAAGACTTTCATTATATATCAAGGGAATATTCATGATACATCAGGGTGCTTAAAAAATATAATAACTTCTATAAAAGAAATAATGATCAATAAAGGAAAAAGTCGAAGCTTGTTAGAAACCACTTTTATTATAAGGTTTGGTTTTTACTTTTTAATTGATAATTAGTTGCTAATTCAAAACAATTAATGCAGTATAATTTATTTAATCTTGTTTTTTATTAAATAGGAGTAAAATCCTCTTGTGTTTTGGAGCTCAAGCTCATGTAATGTGGCAATAATGTCATTAACTGGATACCAATGGATATCTGGTGTTTTTGGATATTTGAAATAATTGCCAGCTTTATGTAAACAGCAGACAGATATGTAGTCATCTTTAACACCTATCACCTTTCCAGGAAAAAATTCACCAAAATAATGCGCTAATTCCCAATCAGCAATATTGATGTCAACAGTTACTGACTTTTGTGTATTAATGCAAGTATCTTCCAGCATGTGAAAAATGTCAAATGTTGTGCTCATTGATGTTACATAAGCTAAACAACACGATAAAGGTGAAAAGCAATGATATGAGCGGGTTCCTTTGATAGCAGGAACATTCTCAAATCGTTTAGCAAGAACTTCATGAGTGTTAACAGCTGTTTCGTTTTCAGAAATATAGAGAAATCTAAGAATAAATATTAACATAAATCTTATAATCTAAGAACATAATTTTAAAAATATATTTAGTAAGCTCTTATTTTAAAGTGCCATTTTTTTAATAATTTTCCTTATAAAAAACTTATACCAAAAAGTTCAAAATTTGTTTTATTAGGATTGACATCCATTACTTGAAAAAAAATCATAACCAAAATCTATGTGCATTTAGACAACAAAGTGCTAACTTTCTTTAGCAACTAAAAACATGTCCTTTGATGTCAAAATTTGATTTCCAATTAGCCTTTAGAGGGATAGGTTGTTAATTACTCTTTTAACTGTACCACCTACTCCGTCACATGCACTTTTTCCATGTGCAGTGCCAAAAAAATGCCAATCTGCTTTCAGTCCGAAGTCTTTTTCATGAAAGCAAAGGTTTTTCAAATTAAACCTATAATAAATTAAGAAAAATTATATTCATAAAGTGAAATCAATAAATTTAATAAAAAAACAATATCCTAATTATTCTATAGCAAATTTGAAAAATATCATTCCAATAGCTGAATTTGGTTTGTTTAGAATTGGTTAATCAGAATTTTTTGAATGATGTGAACTAAAAATTAATCTACCTATTTTTATACTGGCTGCCTGCACCATCAGTGAAATAATGAATCTTTTGAATATTTGGATATTCTTCTTTCAGAATAAATACGATTTTTGAAACATAAGTGAAGACTGCCTTAGTATTGTGAATCAGATTGTCTGATATAATGCAATAACATTTGCTTTCTTGGGTCAGGTTTAAAGATCTCATATATATAATAAATGGATGAAGAGTTGCCTGATTTTTAGAAAAATATGATGCCTGAATTTCATCCTGTATGACAAATGAAAAATTTTCAGCAAAATCCATTTGTATAATACATTCATTTGCTTTCAGGTTTTCTTTTAACTGCTTTAAAAAGTATGTCTGAGATTTGCTGACATAATGATGTTTTGTGAGTTCATATAAGTTGTTTGTTAACTCTTCAAGAAACTCATCAAGGTTTTTAACTATTGTTTCTAAGGAGTATCTATCAGTTTTCAACCATTGTTTATAAGTTATTTCATTTGCTGAATCGCCAACCAGATCATTTAACTTTATTTCAATTCTTTCTTTTCTAGGAAAGTTTTTACACTCCTGAAACATACATTCTTTATTTTCTAATGAGCATACAGCTAAGGCCATCAGTTCTTTTAACTTTAATTCATTTTTAAATGCTTTTACCATTAGATTTGGATTTTGATGGTGGATACAAACACAGACAGTATGGGTGCCAGATTTTCCAGCAAGTACACAGTGTTTTGGCCTTAAAAGAGCAAATGATGTTAATCCCACCTTAACTATATCATTAGAATTTGATTCTTCTATCCATTTTTGGTATAGTTCTGAAAGATTACATAATATGAGTCTCTTCTGAATGTGCTTTCTGCCTTCAACTGTTTTTATGCTAATATAATCCTTTGCACCTGGCAATAATCTGCTATTACTATCATCTTCATAAAAGTTGACAATTTGATTTATAACTTCGGAAGTCAATTTTTTTGGATTTCTTATGTCAGTTGATCTTTCACCAAGGATTCCTTTATTGTCCTGCAAAGCTCTTGCTTGCTTTACCATATAATGTGTTGTTTTAAATTTATTTATTGTTTCCTGAATGGTCCAATGGACAGGAATTAAGGTGAGTAATTTTATTTTCTTTGAAATACTATTCTCATTATGAAACTTTTGTTTTAGCTGTTCTACTAGATAATCTAAAGAGGAGATTTTAAGCGTAGCAATTTGTGACGCTTCTTCTTCGAATGAATTCAAAGACTCATTTAACACCTTAACTTTTTATTTTATTTTATTGTCATATTGTAACATGCTCATGCTTAATGATCTTTTAATTGGCGACAAACCAAATTTTATAAGACAAGGATTTAGGTTATCAACTTGTAAAACAGAGTTATCAGATAATACATAATCTGGATCTTTTCTCTCCTCAACTGCTTCAACATTCTTGAGTTTTCTAACGCAACTAAAACATATTTTTTTCCCAGGAATTAAAGCAGAGTTCAGTTGATTATGCTCCAAAGTGACAGTTGTCAGATTTCCTTTAACAATCTTTGAATGAATTAAGAAAGGGTCACAGCATGACTTATGAAATGTTGGATAGTATTTAATAAATTGTAGACTATGATGAGTACAAATTGTATGCAGCTTATTGTTTTTTATTCCAGTTCTTAAGGTCAGCAAGTATTTTTCCTCATTTAACATTTCCGAAATTTCAGACTGACCACAGAATGTATTTTTATGACAATCTAACTTTAGTTCAATCCCAATAGAACAAGAACTCATTATTTTCTTTACTATAAAAAATTGAATCGAGTTGAACTATTATAGAACCTACTATATAAGTTTATAAATGCAACAAGTTTATAAATACAATATTCAGTATTTGAGTTTTAGCATTTTAAATAACAGAAACAAAATGTAAATTGAATTATAAGATTAACTTAAAAAATGTTTAAAGTATCACTATTTAACAATAATACTGGGTTTTAACTAATTATTGCCCCTTTATTTGTGCCCCTACCCAGGTTAAAAAGTAGATCAGCATGGGGGCAATCAACCATATCTTTTATTTTTTTAAGAAACAATTTATAATCAGTTGCACCCATTGAATATGCTATTAGACAGGTTGGGGGTACTGGTTTCTAATAATGCATTCAACCCTAGATAATTAAAAAGTAGGACTATTTTAAAATGCTCCCGTTTTTGATGTGAATGCAACAAGTAAAAAATGATTGCATTTTCAGATATTTGGATCTTATGGTCTTTATTGCTGTTAAGCTTAGATCAATACAAAGTGTTAGAAAAAATTACGAGCATTTCAAAATGGCTGAAAATGGGACTTTTTTGGCAAATGGACAATACATTTTTAGATGTATTTCAGTTCTAAACTGCAACAAGCGGCTTATTTTTTTGCCTGTTTGTTGTAGATAAGATTAGCTAATCAGAAAACAAAACTGTAGGGACTTGTTGCAGAATAGAAAAGTACTACAGTTAATTTCATTTTAGCCTTTTTTAGCATTTTTCAAATTTTTTTCGATGTTGAGGAGGCTATAATTTTTTTCTAATATGATACAAGTCAACAAAAACCAGTATTTTTAATACAGAACTACCCAGAAAACACTTCTAGAAAAAATGAGACACTTGTTGAAAGTTAGAAAAAAGTTATGAGGCTTTAAAGTAGTCTGTTTTTACAATTCTTAAATCAAGGGGGGCCACTGCACAGTGTTTATGGAGCTATATTTTCTGAACCGTTGCACTTGGAAGTCTGAAATTTCAAATTTAACCTATCTACATAATGTAGATAATGATATGTAAAAATCAGGAAAATCAGAGTTGGTGCCCCACAGGCCATTGGTTGAAGTATAATGATTTGACCCACATGTTTAAAAACTGTATGAAGTATATAAATCTTATGTTAATTTTTTATCTTTAACTTGGTCTCTTCTGAGACTTGTTTTGTGTTACCTTTAGTTACATTGTAGGAAAAGAATAAAAAATATAGAATAGGAAAACTATATTAAAACTTAACTTATAAATTTGTGTATTATAAATTTGTTGTAAAAGTCCTGACTTTAGGACAACAAAGAGGTTTCATGTTGTTTAAAACACACTTGCACACCATCTAAAGTAAAAGATTAACATTGCAGTAAGTAAAAGATTAACATTGCAGTAAGTAAAAGATTAACATTGCAGTAATGACTTATTATAAGTTTAGATGCATTTAAAAGTACTAGAGAAAGGAAAGCCTGACGATGTTCCTCCTGGAATTAAAGGTTTGAAGGTAAAAAATGTTTTTTTCAAAAATAATTGTTCTAATTTTGTTTATTTAAATTATTTGCATGTCATTGGCAAGTATTTTGATTAGGAGAAGCTGCCAGCGTTTCCACTTTCTGGATTTATCAATAAGGCTGGTGGTAAAGTTAGACTTACTTTTAAGTTAGAAATGGATCAACTTTGGTTAGGGACAAAAGGTAATGCTTTACTTTTTTTTTTTTTGCTTACCTTAAAATTTTTGCTCTTACTTGGCTTCATTATGCACTGGTGGTTTAGATTTATGAATAGATAGAAGCAATTTTTTTTTCAATCAGAAAATTTTTATTAGTGATATAAAAGCAAAACTTTTTATTATGTCCTATTATTTTTAATAGAATACACACTCTTTTGTTTTCAGAAAGTTTTTATTTTATTTTATTCAAATTTGTTTATATTATACATAAATAATTTTTAATAGTTAACTGTTCATTTTATTTTATTCAATAACTCATATCTAATACAATATATTATACACATAAAAAAAAAGTTTTTTTCAAGTTAAACACTGAGAAGAAAAAGACATTTTGAAATTTGTGTTAAAAGCTGGGACTGCCTAATTGTCTTTTTCTTTTGTTAGGTTTTAACAGTTTTTGATCGTTTATAATAAAAATGAATACTTTATATTTTGAAAAACTTTTGTAAAAAATCTTTGAAAAAATATTAACTATTTATTAACTGATAAACACGATGATTATTTAATTCACAGTTATCATAATAATGGTATTATGAAATACTTATTGTACTTTTATTCTTACCCTTACTGTGTATGCATCATCTAAAGTTTATTTTCTATGTATGAATCATCTCTATAACTTACCTTTTTGAAATCTTTAAATCTGGAAATCTCTATTTTTATCTTAAATTATCTTCAATCTTGAAAAAAAAGATAGATGTATAGATAAATTAATAATAAAATTTTTCTCATTGCTCATACACAAATTAGTAAAATTTAAAAAAAATTTGAAACAACTCAGCTAAAATCAAAATCAAGGGGAATATAAGGGAAAATGTATTTCAGATTTTTTGCGGATATTTTACCCAATTAATTTACAGATTTTTAAAATATGACCAGAATGATCTATGATATATATATATATATATATATATATATATATATATATATATATATATATCATAGATCATCCTGTATATATATATTATATATAATATATATATATATATATATATATTATATATATATATATATATATATATATATATATATATATATATATATATATATATATATATATATATATATATATATATAGGATATATCTACAGGTATATATATATATATATATATATATATATATATATATATATATATATATATATATATATAGGATATATCTACAGGTATATATATATATATATATATATATATATATATATATATATGTATGTATGTAAATATATATATCAGGCCTTAGCATGAAACTGGAGCATTCGCTCCCGTCACATGAAACACGCTCGTTAATGGAATATTTATAAGTTGCAGGCACAATAAAAAAGGCTTGCTAATTTAGTTACGAGAGTAAAAAATCGCGCTCATCCAAAAAATTTGAGAAGGAACTAATAATGATATACTTGATTTTATATTAAATTTTTTTTATAAAAAGTTTTTATTAAAGATTCTTGGTTAATTCAACAAAAAAGTTTACTTATTGTTAAAAACAAAATAATCTCTATTCAAATATCTTTAATTGCTTTTTTTTAACTGAGTAAAATGTTAAAGTTATACTTCAATTAAAAAACTCATTTTTTCATGTTAACTTATGTCATTCTGTTGAAATTAGAGCGCAAATTTCTACAAACAATAAATGGTGATTTGTGCATGAAACTTCTTTATATAAAACGCTTACAGCAAACATTTAATGAAATTAAATAATATTTTATTTATTTATGTAAGTTTATTAATAATATTAAATTGTGTAATAAATACAAATTAGTTATGAGAAACGTTGTTAATTTAATTTTGTAAAAGCATTTGCTAAAAACCATATGTATAATAATAAAATTTTTTTAATTAATTTCGAAAAAAATATTTCTGAATAAGTTGTGTTTTGAACGGAGAATACTTTGTTTATCGTTAAAAACAAAATAATCACTGTTCATATACTTTTAATTGCATTTTAGCAGTTAAAGTAAAACATTTAAAAAAATTTGTTTTTTAAATATTAACCAACATCATTTGTTAAATTAGAGCATTAGAAATGTTTTCAGCCAAAATTTAACTAAATTTAAAAAGCTTTTGTTATTAAAATTATAACTTATATTTTTTATAACTTAACTAAAATTATAAATTTATTTGAGAAAAAGAAAAGTTTAAGTTTGTCAAAACGTTTGCTAAAAAAGTTATAAAAGTTCTATTAGCGTTAGCAACGAAAAAACAATAAATATGTTTTGATAAAAAGAAATCGTTGTTTTATTGTTTTAATGTTTTAATGATGCAAAAACATTATGAATTTATATTTTAATTAAACAAATAAAAAAAAATTAAAGCTTAAGAACTCTTTCAAATAAATTCAATGCAATAATACAACAAAATAATACAACAATGTAATAATGTAACAAAATAATAAAAAAATTGACTTTAGTATCAAGTTAAAGATGAAGACAATAACAAAGAAAATACATAAAAGATAAATTTATTCTTTAAGATCATTAATATATATATATATATATATATATATATATATATATATATATATATATATATATATATATTATATATATATATATATATATATATATGCTACCGAGTTTAAACTCTAATTGAT